GGAAATCGAGCGATCGTAATCCGTGCAGAAAAAGGAAGTCTTTTATATTAGGCATGCGATTGGCCGATTTCCTCGTACAATTTCCTTGTCTATTACACGAGTTTGTCTAGATAAGTCTTAAGGATCCTGTTTACTCGCCGTAGCCATCTTGATTAACACTTTGCGGTCTCCGCTCCGGGAATGAAGTTGTCGTGTCCTCTAACCCTTGCACTCTTAAACTGAGCCTACAGTGAAAAATGAGTTTGCTTGGATTTACCTGATAACGGAGGACCAAATGCGATTTGGTTGAAGGAAACAGAATTTCTAGTTGTGAGAATCAAACTTGGTTCACGAGAACTAGAAATTTTGTTTCCTTCAATCAAAACGTGTTTGATTGTCCATTGTCAGGTAAATCCAATTAAACTTACCTTTCAGTGTATGATTCGCACTTTTTCAGCTACAAATAAATACAAATAAATACAAATAAATATCAATATAAATAGACTAATTAAAATTAAAACTCATTTTTTTTCTTTAGGCGTGATTAATATCGCTCATAATTATATTCTTCACTTTATAACGTTTGACAACAGTTTTTCCTTAATATTTACAGTTTTTTTCAACGTTACTAAGCACGTTTCACTTTTGCTTTTCTCCATACATTTACCTTAAATCATAAATATATGTATGTATCGTTAATATTAATGATCTCATATCGTGACATCACTGTATCGTCGGCGGACCGCAAAGTGTTAATGAAGTCAGAAGCGAGAAAATGTATGCCCAAAATTCTTGCGAAATATGTTGAAATAAGAGAATATATCCATAAAATAACACTTGTGATCGATTGAGCATATTTGTAAAATATTTCGAGAAATTTTCTTTTGCTCTAGCAATCAATAAATAACGGTAAAATAACTTTACTTGCAAATTTCCTTTTTAGTCTATCTTTTCTCATGATTTTGTCACGTTAATTTTATGGTTATTTATTTATTATTAAATATACATTTTCTTGCTTCTGACGTCATCAAACGAGATCGTAGCTGAGTACTAGGAACCTTGATGAGTTCGAAAAATCTTGAGGCGAGATCCTAGAGTTCCCTTTCGACTCTCAGAAGTTTCGCGTTCGCGGTTTCTACAAATTCAACGAGACTATAGGGGAAAAATACTGTTGTGTCGACAAAATTTGTCAACAGCACTAAATTGGAGTAAATCTTCTGGATTCAATGGCAATATTCCTGAAGCTAATTTTTGAGTTATTAAAACGAATTATTCAGTAATACCGCTATCGAATTAAAAAGATTTACTTCAATTATGGCGCTGTTGGTCAATTCTGTTGATACAACAGCATTTTTTTCCGTTTCTAAGGGAGTTGTAAGACTGTAATTTGCTTTTCTCGACCTTTGTTCCTTCCCGATATCATTCGATGCCGTTCTCCGCGCGATTTTCTCGTTTGATTTCGGAAGAATTGCTGCAGATTATCCCCCATGGCCCGAAAGAACCCGAGACTTCACGTCGCACGAATTTGACGACGCGCGGTATAATTTTCGTGATTAGCTCGAGCGAGCTCGCTTTTAACGGGTTGCGCAGCCTGGTTCACCTTCTGAAGGTAGGACGGAGGTGTGGCGCACCTCGTCCTATAACAATGATCTCCATAGATGGAAGATTGCGCGAAAAGAGCAACGCAAAGGTCGCCATGAACGAATCGCGTGCGGCGAACGCAGAGGAAAACGAATTATCGATAGGAAAAGTCACGACGGGAACAATTGTACGTGACAATTTATGCGCCATGAGAATTCGCATGTGAAAGATCGCGGAAATAACAATAATCCGAGATCTGAGTGCGAAGGAGAGAAAATTCCCATGTCTATCTTCTCTCAAAAGTGTGGCTTCTCTGTCATTTCGCAAAAAAAAAAAGAGAGATACAACGATACGATAGTACAAAATTATCTTCGACACTCACACAGCAAAATATCAGAGATGTAATCAGATATCTTTATGCCTACAATTTTAAGTTGTATCTAAGATATTTTCAGATATTCACATAATGTCAAAGGACATCATTACTCGATATCACATTATTTTCTTTGAAAAGATATTTCTGCAACATTTGCGTACGACTTATGGCATTAAAATCTTACAGACATCTTTCAGATATCTCCGTAATATCTTGGCAATCAAATATTGAGACATCCAGACATTTTACAGATACCTCTGTGATATATTTTGCTCTGTGGATATTTTTCTTTTTAATTATTTAATAACGAAACTTTTCTCTGAGTAGCTCGCCTTCAATCGAAATTAATTGAGATTCGGCCGAATTCCAGGGGCTTGTCTATTCTATCCAAAGTTCGACTTTCCCCGTTCTGTGTTTCGTAAAGATTCATTTTTGTTTTTAGGTAATCGCGATATCCGCCTGACGATGTGTCGAAACCAATGGCCGCTTCGTCGATCACGCAGCGCATAAAGAGAAAAAAAGATAAAAATAAATGAAAAGAATACTCATCGAAGTCCTCGGATCCTTGAGATCCAACGGCATCCACGGATCGCTGATCTTTCCCTACGTTCACGAGACACGCGCGTTCTCAAGTTAATGTTACTTTCTTCTCAGCCTACTTTGCCTAGCGTGTACTAAAGCTAATCCTAGAGGTAATGGCGGCTGTCTAGCCCGTTAAGGATACGAATCCGAATTCCGAGGTTACCATGGTAACGAGATGTAAATGTAAGAAGGATGTTTTTTTCTGTTTTATTATTTTTTTTTTTTAATGAACATCGCGACGCAATAATACTCAAGGCGGTGCCGCGCGTGAAACAACGGACAAATTCCGCTGAAGAGAAATGAATTTGGCATACCTGTGAGACTAAATGCGACCGCGCGCTCGATCGTAAATTACAAAGTCGGAAGCCGAACGGCTTCGTTTGTCTCCACATGCGCGCGGAGAATGCGAAATTTCCCGATGCGAAATTTTTGTATCCTTGAAGAAGCTGAAAAGATATATTGTATCTATACAGAGTAACTTAGCATTAACAAAAAGTATCTCAACGATGAATCCTCTGAGAAGTATTTGAGATCCCTTTTTTCAGAGAAAATTTAACGGTGTTTTTAATTTGTAATTGTGTTATTTTTTATTTAAACGTTTCATATAAAATTTTATGAAATACTCTATGTTCATGTATAAAAATATATTTTTGTTAAAAAATTACATTTTTAAGGATGTGTGTAAATTATATTAAACATTATTAAATATCTAATCACAAATAATCAGATACGAATTTGTTGAATGTCGCAATTAGGCTTCGTATAAAATTGTTGTCAAAACTTCCGAAGAATCCGTCGTTGAGCTATTCTTGCACGGTGCGGGGACACTCTGTGTATGTAACGTGCGCGTCGGCCTACCCAGTACAAAAGCAGATCGTTATTATGATATTTTTTATTATGTCACGGATTATTGTGTTATGTGAATAATTACATTTTATGTTGTTAACGAAGTCGTAATATATATATATATGAATATATAATACATGTTTCTACACGTATATATAGATACGCAAATATATATATGGATTTATATATATGTACATGTATATGTATACACACTAGCAACGTACCCACACGTGCGTTAACAACGTTTGTGTCGATATTGACAATCGTATCGCTCTCTTCTTCCCTGATCTTTTGGTTTTTATACGAACGTCTCCTCCCCCTTCCCCCCTTCCCTCCGTGTAAGGCTCGTTGCGATTTTTTCTCCCCTTCCTTTTTACCTTAGCAATAGAAACGGTTGTCCGAGTTTCTTTCCTAATAGCTCCGCTTCAGCAATCGCGGGAAATGATCTACGAAGATGACCCGCGAAAAACAATTCTCGAGGATAATCTTCCTTCTTCTACTGCCGAGTGCAATATATACACATATATACATACATAATGTACGAAATTCTCAGTTAACTTATTGTCTCAACGAAAATATAATTTAATTAAATAAATACGAGAGATGATGTTTATATATATATATATAATATATATATATATATATACATATTATTGTATCTAGTTAAGCGTTTATATTGTTTCTTTTTTTTTGTTTCGTTGGAAATCGCGATTCGTCAAAGAATTTACACGAGTAGCGTCGATAATCACCGGGAAATTGTATATAATCGCGTTGTGAACTATAGACGGCTCGAAGAAGCGAGGATCCTTCGTTCCCTCCAAGATCCTTCGAACCTTTAATTATCGATCAATTATAAATTAATTAGTATTGACTTGACCTTGGTATAATCGTCGTTCTTCTTAGTTTAACTTTTAGTACATTAGATGAATTCCGAAAAGCATCGTATATATATACGAGAGAAAGATATACCCCCCTACCTTGAACGATCCTTCGATAGGATACTCTTCGCTATTGCTCACGAGTGTACAATAATTCGGGTAACATTGAATGGCGGACCAGCCGGCACAGCAATTTAGAGATTTAGACGAAACGACGAAGAAATGTACCTATTATTTTTGTACTTAGTTTTAATAAAGGTTTATATGCTTTTTTATAAAAAGAAGGAATCGATTAAGATGACCAATACTTAACCAACTCTAGCAGGGACTTCATTAAATTTTAACCAAACTATCATCGAGCCTAAAATTTTACTTATTAAGAGATATAATGAAATACTTTCGAGGCATCTCGAATGCATTATTACCGAATCTTTGTCGACAAATCAATAGATATAAAATAGTTAATTAATTTTATTGTGCGGCTATATGTATATAAACGAAGAACAAACTCTCAAAATAATATAAACTTGATAAAATAGATAAAGGAAAAGGTAATTAAGAAGTTGGTAATTAAAGATTTCTATATAATTACTAGAAATTTTTTATTATTTTTTCCTTCGATAACTGCATGTTGTGGTTGCAAGAAAGTAGGAGATTCCTAGATGATCACGAAACATATGTTGCGAATGTCACGACTACCTTCAGTAATCGAGATATTGCAGAGAGATATAGAGAAAGAGTAATATAGCTCTTTGGCGTAAGATTAAATAATATAGTGTTTATTCGTAACATTGTGTGTATACAAATGCTCCGTAAATTCGCGTGTAAATCATTATGTTTCTCTCTTAAACGATACATGTTAACAAACCGTGCGTCGTAGATAATTGTTTCTTCTCATTTTTCTTCTCTCTTTATAAAGCTAAATATAAAATATCACTCGAATTTTCCTGCTAATTCAACGTTAGATTATCTGCGCGTTTCAAAAATATCCATTTGTAAAATCGAGAGTCGCGAGGAATTTTTTTCTTTTTTTTTTCGAGCATCTGATATACACAGTGTAAGTAATTAGAAATAGAATACTTAAATATTTTCTTAAATTCGAACGTGTAGAGAGAACATATAGAACATAATTTGGACAGTTCGGATTTTCTGTCAAGACTCGTCCGGAAAACAAAATTACTCGTAATGTTCGCAAATTCTCTTTTCATTATTATAATTTGTAATAATTCTTGTTAACTGCTCGTGACCAATTTTATTCATTTATATTTCCAATGATTCTCGCATAATTCTTTCATTTCAACTCGCTGTAATCATCAACAAGAGAAGTAAAGCGCGTTCAATGTTCCTCGAGACTCTGATCGAGTTTGCCTACTAAGCAGACTGAATCCGAATGCGCTCAGAACAGCTCGCCCGCTAATTAGGTTTGCGTAGAAGTGAGAAGTCTCGTTTGTATACAGTGTAAAGTACGTATAATAGTAGTAGTATTGTCGGCGGACGGGTCTCATCGCGAATCGTTGAAGATATTTAAACTCGTCGTTTGGCAGCTCCGATTCAGGTCAGATTCAGGACACCGATAATTCACGATCAAATTCCGCGGTGCCGGAGGAAGGAAGGAAGGGTAACAGATACGTGCGAAAATAAATTTGCAACTACGTAACCCACCTACGTAAATCGTCGCTAAATTCGCCCGATGCAGCCACTCGGTTGCTCACATCGGCGAGACAAAAACTGTGAAAAGTTGCACACTGTGTCGTGAGAATCATGAGAAAACGTCGCGAGAGTTTCACCGTGATTTTATCGCCGTTATCTATCATTGCTCAATGTAATTCACAATCTTCGCAATATGTCAAGTAAATCCCCGCGTAACAACCTTCAGATTCAAGCCTGGCGCGTAATATTTCATCATATTTACATGACGAACTCTCGAATCGGCGAAGTAAGGAAAGAAGTCCGAGGGCGATTTTATCGTCGGAGGTGCGGGTCTCCTCTCGAGGAGAACTGGAGGACAAGTGTCGCGAGATGCATTTTCCGCGTCTAAGGATGTCCTGAACGTGCCCGGGGAAAGATCCTGCGAGGGTATGGTGTGGGAATGGCGTGCGAGAAAAATATACGTATACTTTATTCGATAGAAGTAGGATAGTACTCGGACGACCGTGCTCGCCTCGAGGCGTCGAGCACGGATGCGTCGTTTGGCCCTCTATTAGCAATTGCAGCGGACGATTGAACGGTGATATAGCGCGGCGCGTTATCAGCATTGAAGAGAGGCGCGATAGACGAGGCATGCGCCTGTCTCAGCGTGCGACGGGCTCTAAGAGAGCAGCTTGTCCTCGGGAATGGTCGGGCTGGTGGCCGTCGGAGCCGCGGACGCGCGCCTCATCGCCTCGGACTCCCGAAGGGCCTCGTCGAAGCTCTGCGTCGAGTTGGACCTTGAAGGCACGACTTTCGTCTGCAAGAAGAAGGTGAACCGAGTCTCTGAGTGAAATCCGAGGGGACCGGGGCTATCCGGGCGGTCAGAAATCCCAATTGAAATGCGAGTTTTAGTCTGCATACTTTTTTCATCCCTACTTCGAGTTAATTCATTTCGCTTAATTTCCTCGTGAAATATCGATCGTATCTTCGGAATTTCTCGAGAATATTGATCGTGTCTTCTTAATTTCGTATACAATTTTCCCGATCAATTAAGTCCGGATGGATTATTTCATTTCTTTCGCCTAACCTAATCGTCTGAATTTCATCTTCGCTTCAATCTTAATTTCAATTTAAATCAATTACAATTTCTTCCTTTATTTTTTAATCTCATATTCGTCTTTTAATTTCATCTTCAATTCATTTCCACATTTCGCTTAACGTCAGTCACCTTGACGTTCTCGTAGGCTGATCCGACCCTCTCCTCCAGGGACCGGAAGCTGTCGGAGTTGCGCATCTGACCCAACTTCATGGAGATGCCGCTACCAAAGCCACCCAGGATACTCGAAGTTTTCTCAGCCGTGGACTTGAAGACGGATTCTGTCTTTTGGAATCTGACACGATAAAAAGTGAACGTTTGTTAGGGTCACCGATTCCTCCCGCTGTGGATCGTCCTCCGCGGAAGCAACGGTTGCGTTTGTTTAAGAGAGTCGACTGATCTTATGAATTTTTAATCGGCATTACGATAGAAAGCTGATAAGTGCTAGAGGTGAGACATAGTAGTGCTCTTAGTGCGATTCAACTTGGTTTTCGTCAAGTAAACCGCCACTTTCAGCGACGACACAACGGCAAAATGTTGGACTGCGTACTTACAAAGTGTTTTCGGAGACCGCCTTGGTAAACTGACCGAGTTTCTCGCCGACGTTCTGATAACTGAATGAGAACCCAACCAAAAGTCAAAGAAATCAATGCTTCTACGTGTCTGAAGGGCAGAAGAAGTGGAGTATCAACAAAAAAAAAAAAAAAAAGAAAAGGCGATCGCCGTCCGTCGGTTCGCAGAAATGCAAACGAAAAGGCGTGAAAACAAGAGACGTGAACAAGAGATGTGAAAGTAAAAGCCAGAAAAGAACGAAAGAAAGCGAGAAGAATCGAAGAATGTGATTCATGCATTGTTTTTTCTCTTCTTCTAGCTTTGAAAATCAATCAATCTCCTCTCTCCGTCATCTATGCTGCTTGAAAGGCGCGATAAGACACCCTGCGAAGGATCGTGTTTCGATCGATTCGCCGACTTCACAATTTCCTATCCACTTCCCCTTTACGGGAGATAATACAGCGGTATATACAGTGTGTGTAAAGTGTGTGTAGAGTGTACAGAGTGAAAGAGACACGCAGAGGAAACGGCCACGACCGGCGGGATACGTACACGTGACTCTCCTTGACATTCTTGAGGCCCTGATTGACGTCGTCGGTGAGCTCCTTCCACACGCTGATACCCAGCTTCCTCTTCAGCTCCTGCGCAACCCTGACCTTGCTCGCGAGGACGTGTCTCAGAGTCTGTATCTCCTCCTCCACCTGCGATCCAACTGTTATTCCCTGCTCTAGGATCCTCTCTCTCTTTCTCTCTTTTCTTTAGCTAATCCGACTTGCGACTTACCTTCGCCAGCTCTGCGCTCCATTCGGCCTTCTGACGTTCTTGCTCCTCCAAGGACAGACCTTGCAGCTCGTTCGCCACATTATCCGATGTGGGTGACAGGGAGCCGCCCGAGTGAAGCGAGGCGTCCTCTCCTGGGACAAAAGGCGGCAGAAATTAGCCGCGACACCAGGCCAGAATTAATCGTAACGATCGCTCGGGGACATCAGTCTTCCAGTTGTGCTCAAGTATAAATGATCACGCGCGATGCAGTACGAAATATTTACAACAAATATTTACCGGAGATCAGAATTGGAAATCTCGATGAAGTGTAAATTGGATGAAGTTAAACAATGTCCGAGATATATCTCATCACGCGAGATACGCTGTGACTTACGCTGCGTTCACCGCTAAATTAATCGTGCAATAAGGCTAAGGTGATAGCCGCTAAGCTCGCCGAGAGAAATGGCAAAACCAGTTGTGGATACAAATCGGAGAAAACGAGCAGCCCCGGATTGCACAAGCGAACGTTCTCCGGGGCTTAGATTCATTATGGATCGCTATGAATCATTGTTCTATGTATCGTGCTCCAGATCGAAGGAATTACTTCGAAAAAGGCTCATAGGCTATAGAGAGATATTCAATCAGGGAGAATAAAATCAAAGGATCAATGCGAACCAATACGCTAATTCTAAATTTCTGATTTCCTACACTCCAAGATTGGGTAATAACTAATTCAGCTCGGTCAAAAGTTAAAAAGTTAAAAAAATTCATAACTTCTAACCTAACTTAGTTAATTTTAAATGCATTAACTTGAACTTATTAACTTTTTACGTAAGTTAAGATAATTCATCAATATTAAAATCATTGGCCCGGACTATAATGTAAAATAAGTAAAATAAAAAATATAAAGCAGAATATTTTATACCTGTTCCTTATATGGGATTCTGAACAAGTCGGTATTTTCTTATAATAGACTATCTTTTTTTATTTAGAGTTTAACAATAAATTTAATCTACGATTAAAAAATTGATTATACAGAAAAAGCACACACACATATATATATATATATATATATATATGACTTTGCATTAATTAACTTAATTTTTATTTTAAATTATTTTATTTTAAATAGGTTAATTTTGGTTTAGATAATTTTTAACTTAAGTTAATTTTATAAACCATTAACTTTTAACTTAACTTCATTTATAATAAAAATGAACTTATTCAACCCTGCTAAATTTATAAATTTACAATCTTTCTATATTTCTCTGAATGAAGTTCCACTCGGAAAGTTACTCAAATTTGGGTGACTTTTTATCGAATCCTCCACTCTGAATCATTAAATAAATATTTCCATTCAAGATCAAAGAGTTAGTCTGACTGTACTCCACCGTAATTGAAACAAATCTTCATCGACGTTACATCGTATGCGCTTACGTTCGCGCAAAATGTGAATACTCAAGTCGAAAACAAAAGAATGCGGCTGCTGCTGTAAATGCGGTACGAGCGCTTGTAGGAAGCGATTGCTTAAATTTTCGGTCAATAATTCCGATCGTTTCGCCGCGATTTCCCTAGATTGCGAAGGAATGCGCGAGTGGAGTTTCGCAATTTCAACAGAGCGAAACGTTATCCTAGAAAAATTAAAAGCCAAGCTCGTCGGTCACTGCACTCGATCGCGATTTCCTACGATCTTCTTCTTTTTGTTCGGTGCACTTTCACGCGTAAGGAGAGAAACGAATAGGCACTGAGAAATTTCCGGATGTAAAAACGCAGAAATTTCTCACGTGAAAGTTGAGAATTATTATACCGAGAGCCATTAAAAACGTTTCGTAAATTTGATGATCTACAAAGCCAACAGGATCCACAGAGCTGTAGATCCAAATACTCAGAGAAAATGAAACAGATTTGAGATCTTGTCGGGGACAATATTTTTGACAATATACACAGAAAAACAATTCTGTTGTCGTAGCTAAATTTTCTGTTATTTGGGGACTAGACGAAAACTCGGATGTAGAAACAGAAAGATTCCTCTAGGAGGTTTTTACTCAATCAATTGCTCTCCGTTGTCTTAACCGAGATTTAATGCAGCTGAATGTTCGTACACATTGAGAGAAAAAAATATCTAATTAAAAAAATATGTTTATCATTCAATGTAAGTACTGATAACATATTTACTTATACTAATATATATGTTTTTACACCGAGAAAAAATGTTTTTCAAATGGAAAAATAAAAAGTAAAAATTTTCTTAAATTTGTAGCTTTCCATGAAAGCAATCGTTCACTCTACTTAAGGCTCCTGATTACTCGTTATGACTGCCCTTGTTTAATGACGAGTAGTCAGGAACCTTAAATAAAAGAATTTAGACTTAAATAAATACTATTTTTAGACTTAAATAAATCTGTTAATATCCACCGAATAAACAATTTTTATTTTTTAGATATTTTTTCTCTCAGTGCACAAATGTTCTGAGTTGCAGTAACGAAAATATTTCTTGTCATTGAGTTTTCATCTGATTCCTTTACAGCAAATGAGTTTTTTGAATGAGGATTGCTACAGAAAATGAAATTTGAAATTCCCTAACTTTTCTATGTTTTCAGACGACAGTAGAAAATTTTCTAAGACCAATATGTAATCTTTTAACGCTTAGAAGCAGGAATTGCAGGGAAGATAGCTTATATTATTAAAAGCAACAAAAAATAAATGAGCATTGCGAAAAAGAATATAGTTATGACGGGAATAAACGAATGAATAAAAAATGATAAGTATTCTTTAGAATAAGAGCATTTGAGAGAATTGTGAACAAAGTTCGAAATCCCAGACTCTATTACTTATCCTTCCCTGACTTTACCGGATTTTCCCTGGCCAATTAAAATTTTCATAACTTTTCCCAATTTGTGGCGACCCCGTTTTTCCGCGTGCCCTCTGCCAATCTTAAATTACCATTTCAGCGAATCAAGTTCTGCACGAAGCAAATTAAACGACATCCCGTCCGTCTAATTTCTCGTTCGAACATCTCGATTCGCCAAAATCGAACATCACGACGCGAAGAAACGTCGAAGAAGCGCGATATCTTCTTCTTTCCCCCGCGGCACCTTTTACCAGCTCGAGGAACTTCTTGTAGTTCTGGCTGTTGCTGATCTTAGCGAGATACGGCTTCGACAGGTCCTGGAAGATCACGCGTACCGACCGCCGCTTCCTGCGGCCGTCGCCGCCATCACGCGGCCCTGACTCTTCCGGCACGAACTCCGTCTCGACGGACAGGTTGCCGTCGTCCACGACGATCTCGTCGATCTCGCCGTTGGAGTCGCGCCAGCAGTGCACCACCAGCTCGTCCACGTCGTCACCGACCTCGTCGATGTCGTCGAAGCTCGGCGTGCTCGTCAATTTGGAGTAATACACGTCCTCCTCGTATTCTAGCGACTCGAACTCGCGCTCGTTCTCGCTCGGACAGTCCTCGTCGTCGTGCTCTTGGCAGGTTCTCCTGCGCGATTCAGCCGTTCTCGAGGCCCCGGGCTGCTTGTCATCCGCCATGTTGCTCCTCATGGTCTTGCTTCGGAGGATGCGAGCGATCGCTTCGAGATTTCGCATCGAAACGTTGAGCCGGTGAACAGACGAGGCGAGACGGTGATGGAGTGAATATCGTTGCGTCGAAGTGTTCTTCTAATACAAAAGGTAGTGAGCTGGCAATTTCTGCCCGGCTTCTTCGCGTTCCACCCTTCCGTTCGATCTTTTCCCTTCACCTTAATTAATCGTCCGTCATTGTCTGTCATTCGAAAAGGATAGAGAATCCTTCTCGAGATTCCGAGTCTAGAATTGAGAAATGCCAATTCGATCTCTCGCACATTACTTCTGCATCTGACCGTACATTTCATCGGCGAAGTTCCCACGTACGTAAATTAATCAATCGAGAAAGCAAATAAGAATGAGAAATTCGCTCTGATTAATGAGAAACCGACTCCCGTAAGAAGACACGCCTTGTTTGTAACGAAGATACACGTAAGAAATATTTACACGTACGCTCTACAGGAATCAGAACTGACGAGAAACGGACCGATGGAAAAAATCGACAATTCAGCCGCGACCCGGACACACTGCGAAATTAATTATCGGGAATTAAAAGTTGAAGCTCCGCCGGGATCTCGGCGGGAAATGCTGGGAAGGCATAGCTCACATCATCGTTTATCACAATTAGCCGATGGGCATCGATGTTTATCTACAATTAAAAGTCGCACACATACACACGAAAATAAAAAGTGTTGACTAAAAAATCCGCGCGGTCGAATCTCCCGGGAGATCAGGTCGATTCCTCGGGTCTGTCTCGTGACTTTATGACCCGACCCGATTTCTCACTCGTGCATTTCGCTCTATTTGTGCATAAAAAGTGACCACGTGTGTCGCGCGACGCGTGCATACGCGACTAACAGCTGTGCTCGATCGCGAAGGCGCCACGTTTCGGGGAGAGGAGAAATCGAGTGAGCGGAAAATAAGAACAGTAAGTGGGGCGGGGGAGGAAGAGAAAGGAGGGAGGAAGAGCTGGCGGCCTCGGTTCTCCATTGAGAGAGATAGAGGGGGGGCTCCAGTGGCGGCTTCCAGGTAGATCCATAGGTTTCCAAGTCGCAAGTAGAAACGCCTTGCTCTAACAATGATAATTAAATTATATAAAACAATAAATATAATGAATCAATTATTAAATTAGATGTAATGAATCTCTTATTAAATAGCCTTCGTATTAATGTGTTTTGCAGTTGTTTGTCGTTGACGTGATTATATTATGCGGAAAGGAATTGGCTGAAGAAGTATAGTTGAAGCAATTATTAAAAAATAACACCGCAATATGGCGATGTTACGTAATCTTTTCGTAGAATATTTACGTGCGTATTCCCTGAAGAATTTCTTTTAATTAGCATACCAATTAAGAAACCCACGCTAATTTCCATTAACACAACAAGCTCAATCACCACTCTAAGGGGTGTTCCGGAAGAACCATCTTTCCGGTATCTGCTCATTCGCAATTTGCATCGCTCGTTATTTATATTTGTTTTATTCGATGTTACAGTGACTGGTCAGATAAGGTAGAAAAAGTAGGCTAGATGAAAGAAGGGAGAACGGATGGAGGAAGAGAGAGGGACATAGAGAGGAGGAAAGAAAAAACTCTAGGAACGATGTAGCGTTTTGATTGGTGCATCGACCTTTGCAAACTGCTCCGCTTCCTTTCGCGATCGATGATGAAAGCGCGGAAGCGTAGCAAAGACGTCGTATAACAAAAGTTCCTGAAACTTCGTGGTACCTCTGGCAAACCGGTTTTATCGATCCGACTCGGCGGCGGATTCTTGTCCTTACTCAGCGGTGCGTGTTTAGCGCGGCCGTCGTCCGGTTTTTTTCTTTTTCTACGACGATGCGGCAGTCGCGTTTATAACGTTGAATTTAAATGGACCAAAGTTGATCTCGACGTGCGTACAATCGAGTGCAACTTTAATAAGAATCTACCCTCGATAATGAGAAGAATAAGTAAGATGGATCGGAGCAAGTAAAAAAAGTGGGACAAACATAAAAGCAAAAGAACTTCGCTCGAACTTCCGGATTTTTCTAGACAACTTCGATATTTTCGTATGACTTAACATGTTCTTCTTTTCTATCTTCTCAAGATAAAACATGTCATTTTTAAGATAGGACAAGACCGAATTGAGACGTTACAAATGTGCGTTAGTTCAGTCGTCATGTCTGACTAAATTATAATTGAAAAAAGATGTTATATATGTGAATAACATAATTTTAATTACTTTCAGCTACTAAAGGAGAAACTTTCGAAGTTCAAAGAGTACGGCGTTATCATGCATCTGATTCATTTTATACATGTTACTTTAATCGAGAAACTAAGCAAATTAAAACTAATGAATCTCTCTTATTCTTTTTTTCATTTTCTCCCGATAAGATAAAAGACAACGCAGAGTCGTTATTTCCAAGTTAAAATAGTTAACATAATATGCAGGAATCCAAGGAGAGAAACTCGTGGTGAAACAATCGGTATGCGACGCGAAAGTTGCGCTGGACGGCGGAAAAACTGCGGAAAGCGCAGGAAAGTCCAATCGAATCACGATGCGGCCCGGACTCATGCAGGAACTCGCGACGAGCCGCCGGTTGCACAATGTAACCGCGCACACGAATGCATACGAGAGTTCACAAGGTCATCTGGATAGAAACGTCAAGACGGCGCATAAACGTAGGTTAGAATTCGATCGTGCAACCGTTATCGTGCTTCCAAAGGTTACCTTACCAATCAATTCACGCTGTCTTCGCGTGACGATGCGATCTAACCGAATCAACCGATTCCGAGAATAACTTCTCGATAATCGAAGCGTATGATCAAGTCGATGATCTCACCTGTTGGTACGTTGCTCATCTCGTCGATCTCGCGGCGCGGAATCGTTGCGAAGTGGCGAATTTCCTTTGTACGTGAGTGAGACGTCGGTTACGACGTTACGTCACCGATCGGCGAGCTCGGATCGGTTCACCAGGAAGCGATGAATAGTACGCGTTCTCCGGTACCGAACGGAGATCGATTACTTCGTCTCTACCGTGAACTGACTGAGTGTCGGTGGCCATCTTGGAAATGCAAGCACGACTGTTGCCGCCTGGCGAGCGCCGGCCGCAGTTTCAGGATTTGCCGGGAGAAGATGGCGGATTCAAATGTGGCTACGGCTGTGTTTTCCATCGGATCAACACAATAAACGTATAAAAATGGCAAAGAAATGATGAATTAATAAGTTATGACCATATAAAAGGAATGTCAAAATAGAAATGAAATTATAAAGATATAAAATGTACGATTATCAGTTATAAGTTAATAGGCATCTACTTTTTAATAATTGCATGAAAAAACTCCGTGTAATTGAATTTTTTATTGTCTGGAGGCCAGATGAAAACTCGGTTTAAGAACAGAAAGATTTCTGTAGGAAGGTTCTACTCAGTTAATTGGTCACAATTATCTTAACCAGATTTTAATATAACTGAGTATTCACACGAATGTTCTCGGTCGCGATAACAGAAATATAATTTCTTGTCATTGAGTTTTTCTGGTCTCTATTCCGTTACAGAAACTGAAATTATTTTCTTGTATGTCAATATAATCTTACTGAATTTATAATCTTAGGAAATTTGACTGAAACAAATGATCCCGGAAAAGAATTTCCATATATAATCAGATATACAATTATAGATAATTATACATTATTATATATGATCATATATAATAATATATAATTATCTATAATTGTATATCTATACAGAATGTTCCCCCTATATAAAAATATATAATTACATATGAAGTGACGATACATCCAGACAGCACAACGTTTAAAATGGGATCATAAAACATCTCTAAGATCACGAATATTTTTAAAATGTCTTTCTTTAAGACATCTTAAAAATATGTTCAGGACTTTTTATAACATCTAAAAGAGGTCTTATAACATCTAAAAGACATCTTATGTCCCGATTTTGGACATTGTACTGTCTGGGATCTTATGATTTTAAATATTGTACTATCTGTGATAATATGTATGATTTATATATAGATACATATATGATCTCTCTTTTCCTTCTTTTGCACATATGATGATGATGATGATGATGATATATATATCATTATATAAGGCATGTTTTCTCAGATTTCTATTTGCCAATCGAGCTACTGGACATTTTCTGTTAGGAAAGAAGGACAAGAATCCCGTGGAGACTCTTTTTTAACAACATTTATTTCTAATATGTTCCTATCGTCTATGTACAATTACACAAGGCTGAACTATGCAACGCAAACACAACGAACTCCTACAGATTGCGTACGCACTTGTTAACGATAATAAGGTCCTCAGAGGCGATCGACGTAATCACGAGTGTCGTTTTCGTCGTTCATACAAATGATTTGTGTAGTCGTTATTTTATGGAAGCGTAGAAATCCTATCTCGGGTGTAGATATATATGTAAATATGTATATTATATACACACACATGTGTACGTATATCGTTCGCGGGAGGCGATACCTTCGTATACGGAAGAACCGCGTGATTCCGCTTATCATCCGAGCGTTATCGTCTACAGTTGAAGGGCTCAACGATGGCAACAGTATGCACGTTCATCGGTTTCGACAGACCGACAGAATTCGCAATCTGAACTCCAACGCATTTCCTCCAACTTCGAAATGACTTCAAATCCTCTAAGAGAAACCTAAAATATCCCGTCTACGTCTCTTTTCTTCTTAGCTTCGGTTCGCTACCTTCGATACATTGATCTGTTCTTTACAGCTGAACTGGCTGCATTAGTTTTATTTCCCTCTTTTTACGCAAAGTCGCAGCTACATATCTATTCCTTTTTATGCTGAAAGTATGTATTAGTTCAGCGACAAAGAACAGATCACATAGATCGCACAACGATATCACAAGATATATTTTCCACGATAGAAAGTATATTTCTTCGCTTCTCGAGGAAAAACTTATGACTGACATTAGAAACGGACTAGACGTCTCTCTTGGATTTGAAGACGAGGAAGCATACGTAGAATACAATGTAAATTATGATATAAATTGTGTCATCGCGAGAGAACTCAAAAGCAAAAGATGAAAAATAAAGCGACTGTCAGATGTTATCGACATGTCTGTTTTGGTTGTCTCATCCTTTATATAGTGCCGTCTAGAGTACAGGTGTTCTTCGTTTCTTTTCCTTTTTTCTCCTTCTTTCCAATGATTTTTGCTCTTTGAGAACCTCAACAGAATTATTGTCGTTCTTCCTAAATTAAGCGTGTCACACGAACGTCATACACGGCACGCGGCGACGCATTTAATTTACTCGGATTATTCCCTACGAAGCGTCTATCGCAAAAGATACGCCTAGTTGACCTGGAAGCAACGCGTGTGTTCGATAGTGTTGGTCAAGACACGTATATTCGCGAATAATGGACGAATCATTTCAAATATGCATTTGTGAGTGAATTAAGACACATCTTCTAAACATATAAATCAATATACTCGGTTTTACGTATTTTCACGAGAAACATGTCTGCATATATTTTGTATATTTTATTTTTTTTACAAACTAAAAGTTATATTCAAAACTTCGAAGCTCCGAATTTCTGAATCTTCTAATATTCAAATATTTGAATATTCGAAACTTATGCAAACGCGTATTCAAAATCCTCATTTATTATTCGCGAATGCATCTTGTCCCAATACTAATGCACGGCAAGTACGTGTCGAATCGTTTTTAATCTCCTCTCGTCCTGCATTTCTCGTATGAGATAACCATATATTATATCGAAACAATCAATCCTCGTCCGTAACCGTTCCAATCAGTCGATTTCCCTTCTCCCTAGATTTCGCGAGGGAAACGCAAATCACGAAAAGTCTAGGTTAAATAATTATTATTGCTCAATCTATATGAAGCTGTCGCGAAGAATCATTGTTCGGTTTATCTGACTTTGTTATAGGTATATTATACAGTCGCTGTATTTACATGAGGATCTACGAGATCCTTGATCAAAAAGTCCGACAGAGAGAGAGAATCGGATGCAAAAGTATTGATATGATGAAAGATTTTTCATTTGATACGTTCAATGAATTTTGTGTATTTTTCATTACATTAATAATATTGCGCAAACCAATTTTATCGAAAAGAAACACGACGCGGGAAATTACTTTCATTTATATTTTATTGATATTTCAGAATATGACTTCTATTGTATGCGCGAGATATAACGATAATGCCACTGGAAATGGAGCAGCGTAAATATAAATTGAAATTATAGAATCCCTCTGTTAATGAGAACAAATGAATGGAGAACGTTTCAATGTCTCGGTTAATGAGAACAAATGCATGGAGAACATTTCAATGAAGTTGTTTGAGGAAAAATTGAAAATTAATCATATCTCTGTCCCTGACATTTGGACGAATTCCTACTGTTTTGCGTAATGCGTTGCTCAATTTTGTCTTAACATCCGCACAACTTAAACATTCCTACATATTCTAGTACGTTCTATTATGTTCTAGTACGTTCTAGCCGCAACGAACTATTTCTATCTTTTGCATCCTATGATTTCAATTTCTCTTTGAATGAAGTCCACGTGAAATGAGAGACGCGAGAAACAAATCATCGCAATCTCTCTACTTGCACCTTCGCTTCCTCCTCGAGAAGCTTCCATCGGACTCTTTAAACAGGGAGACTATGATAGAGACTATGATAGAACCGCCTTTCCGGGCGTCCGACTTGGCCTCTTATAAAAATAGTGTCGGAGCTTCGCGGGAAGCGAGACGAATCGAAGATAATCGAGCACACGGTAACCGGTCCTCGATTACCGACTCGCTTTTACGGCGGTCGTCTCGATTCACTTCGATTCATCCGTTCCGAGCGAGGAAGTGGATTACTTGTCAGCAGCGAAGAGGAACCCGAAGAGCGCGCGCGGAAGGAGAGCCTCCTTGCTCGCGATGGCTCGTCGGGCTCCCTTTTGTCCACCGAAGACTCCCGCACGGTGCACTTTTAATTACTTTACTTTACACAGAGACATCGACCTCTAGAGGCGCCTATTACAATCTACCCACCTGTCCTTAGGCGATTTATTTATAACTTTGCACTAACGACGCCCGCGCCCGTCGGCACGTCCGCCCGCCCGCGATCCGATATTATCGATCCACGCGGACGCCGGACATTTAATGGAAACTAACGAGCTCCCTCTTCATTAAAATATGTCCTCGATGTCGGAGTAATTACGGTCCCAATATCCGCCCTGGTATAACCAGTCTTCCTGACCCGTGTACGGGTTCGTGCCGGATTGGAACCATCTGCGAATCATATGTTTCTCTTGCTTCTCAAAAAATATCGACGGGATCTGATAGGATTTCCTATTCAGTGAAAAATGTTTTGTTAAATTTGACACACGTCCCAAACGGTCCATGCAAATTTTTGTGTTAATTTAACACAAGTATGTTGAAAAGTGTTATTTAAAATGTTATTTAAAAAATTGACACAAAATTGACATCCGCAATAGTCGATATTGAAATATAAAATGTGTTATTTTAACACTTACGCACGTTGAATATTGACTCAACATAAAAAATATTGAGATAACATAAAAACAATACGTTAAATTAACATACGGACATGTTAAAAATTTAACACAAAAACTTTAACAAGGACCGATTTTAACACAAATACAATATGTTTTTGATGTTTCCGCATGAAGTGGAAATTATTAAGATAGTTCGTAGAGTGTTGGATTTTGTGACAATATTAGAAGCACATAAGTTTATTATTTACCGAAAAAACGATACTTTCCTACTTTATTTAACTTTATTTCCAACTTTATTCAACCATCTAAATAACAACTGTTAGTTTTGAATGCAGTTAAAACAAATATGTACATGATATTACAAGCAGCATATTATAATAATCATTAAATTGCAAAAATATTTCTCCGATAAAAAATAGAGAACAACATGCAAAGACTTACCTAGGAGCATAGTCGTGTCCCTTCTTATGTTTGCGAGCCTTACGGGTGTCTCTTTGTTTCTCCTCGAGCCTGATTTTCTCAGTCGCAGCACCGTCCTGATCGCCCATCTCCAGCTTCCGGATATCCGGCCTCAGTCTGGAGTCGGTCGGGCACAGGGTCTGCTCCATGTTAGGATCCAGCTCGTTCAACGACATCGCGAACGTCGTAAACTGAAAATACTACAAAAAATCACGTTATAATCGCAATGAATTAATTGAGCGCAAAAGCGTACGGAACATTCGTTCGATTGAAACCAACGTCCGAACTGTTGCTGGGCCTCGGTGTGGCTTCCCACAGTGTAGTGGATCCTGGAATCTCCTCCACGACGGGCATCTCATCGCCATCCATACTAGCTGAGGACTCGTCTATTGCTTCCTGAAATTGAGGAGAATATTCATATTGTATCACTTTTGGTGACTCTAAAAATGAGGACAAGCTAAAACTGTTTTAAGGGATTACATACGCTCGAGCGGTTTGAAAAAACGCCCGATATTTGAATTATTCTAATGACCACATTATTGACATTATGAAACTGTCATTTTGGAAGATGATTCTTCATACTTTTATTTACTATATACTATAAAAGTATCGAAGAATCATCTCTGAAAAGGCATCTTCATAAAATCAATAATGCGGTCAGCAGAAAAATTTAAATATTGGGCGTTTTTCAAGCCACTTAGGTGTACCTCTTGAATATATACCTAACCTGAATCCCTGTAACTCCTTAAATATAAATAAAAAAGAGAGAAAAGGGAGAAATATTGTAGAGAGAAATTTGGCTGTAATGGAAAATAATGAATTCATTGATCGACCGAACAGTAAATTCGCGAAGCGAAGATCGCTTAACACCTGATGTAGAGGCTTGAAAGCTCCGACTTTAAGGCTGTGTAGCTTCGCCAGGACCTTCTTATGGCCCGGGCTGCCCTGCGGACTTTTGGCCTCCCTCTTGACCTTCTCGAGCGCTTCTTCGTAGAACGAGGGTTCACAAGAGCGTAACCTTTCGGTCCATTTACCGTAGAGAAAGAGCAGCTTCCTTTTTCTGGAAAGGGAAAATAATGATGTGATGCAATTGGTGTATGATGTAATTTCGAACTTTCGATCGGCAATTATTGCAAACGAGATGAACCGGGACAAGCGACGGACTGATTTGGATTGATTCAATCCAATGAAATTCGATTGTTAAATATAAATACCAAAGAACGAAGCAAGTTATTATCGTAGAAATTATTCTGGTGAATATTCGAAATACACAGATGTCTGTCGAGTTCGTGCCGAAATCGCGAATAAGTTCTTCCATTCGGCAGTTAGAAGAGATCGTTAGAACGTACTCCTGATCCGTTATGAAGCCCTCGACGCGATGGAGGTCCTTGCCGTTCCAAGTGCCGCTTTTGAACGCCAATGTGGCCTTCAGATTGTCTCCTCCGTACTGTCTGATATCCAGGGCGCCTAATTGTTCCATCCACAATTGGCCCACCAGCACGTTGTGCAGGATACAATTGACGTTTTGCCAGGTATAAGCCTCCTTCCACCTGTTCAAGCGTAGCTATTAACATCGAGGTCCTCTTAAGAATCTCCGGGTTTTTAATAAATTATTTATTTCTATTTAATTCTACAAATTAACTAATTTTTCTTTATTTTGCAGTTTTTTAAATACTGATTGATAAGAATGTGATAATGCGACGATCGAAGATTAACAATAAAGTTCTTGACAAAATTTCCCGGATCTTCTTAACAAAACCTCTCGTCCTTTTCCAATGTTGAATAATAAATAATTGAAATTAATAATAATGATTAACATTAACTTTAATAAATAGAATCACTATGCAAATAGTTAAGATCAAATGAACGTACTTGGGTAACTCTACCGTGACAATCCCCTTCGGGTGCACTTCTATTGATTTTCCCCAGAATTTCAATTTAGGATGAATGCTGCCATGAAAAATAAAATCCTCACTGTCGGCGTAAAACGCTGAGACCGGAGGATGATGTGACACCTGCTCGCATATTATTCTGGAAAGAGTCGGAAGGATTTTCTTAGCATATTAGAAATCTGGATTTTGGAAATGAAGATTCGAATCTCTACACATATCGTGTGATCAATCTGAGGCCTTCTTTCAATTGAGAATTCGTTAAATTCTCAGGACGACATCTTCTTAACGAAAAAAATCGAGAAGCTGGTAGATTCGAAGCTAAGAATAATTGAAAATGTCAACAATTTACAAATTAAGATAAGGACAATATTATATCAAAGTTTTGATAAGGAAAAATTTGTCCAGAATTGATAAAATAATCCTCAGTTGAAAAAGTACGAATAATTTGAAATATCTTGTGTAAAAATCTAAATTCTTATAAAAACTGGAAAATAATTTTTTTTTATTTATTTCCGACGAAAAGGCTTATTATTCTCGAGAGGTATATGCAAAAATTCGTTTTACAAGGATGAAATAATTAATTACCGAAAATCCTCGCGTTGCAACTCGTACGTCTCCCCTAAAATCGGATTGAAGGGTTTCCCGAGGCGCTCCCAGTTCGAGGCGAGAGCACTCACAGCGAAAGCCGCGACGTACTGCAAGATTGTTAATTTTAGTTTTTGGCATGTCCGAATATCGATTTGTCTAATAACACATCCGATGTTGGTATTTCTGCTAATTATTCGACATTCTCTCGGTTAAATTCACGAGGGCGATCTGCGCACCTGAAGCCTAGAAATTGGCGACTCCTCTTGCGATGCCAGCTTCAGTAATTTGGCATATTCCATGTATTCCGCAACACGTTGGAGGAAGGAGAGCGGCTCGTTGAAGATGACCGGCATGGTGATCTTGCTGAGGTCCTTGCCCAGCGATAGCACCGAGCAGAGATTTACTTCGGAATGGCCCGGAACTGGTAACGATGTTCTTGAAAAGTAAATGACGCACGTTTTCACAAAAAAGATTTCTTCATAATTCTTTGTTGTATCTTCTATCTTTGTATGAATAAAACTATAAAAAATAAGAGAATTTTACGTATTTATATTTTTATTATATCGCTGTATCTTATATGTGCGCTCCTTTAAAGCATTATCGAGTTCAAGGACGCGTTTCGAACGCTTCACACTTCGAAGAGAGAAATAGCTAGCCGCGAACGAGAACATTGCGAACCTGTGTTGTCCTGATATCCTTTCGCTGGCCATTGTACGAATCTCTCGTGGTTATCGAGCGTCCTGACGGCCGCAGAAGCTTTCAATCTGTCGCTCTTGTGAATCGATACTTCGATTCCCACCGACATCCGGCGATTACGAAGCTCGACGATTTATTAAGCGACGTTCAGGGACTCATGGCAGATTTGGCCGCATGTACCGCTGGAAGATTTCGTAGAGGGAGCGAAAGAGAAGGAGAGAGGGAGAGAAAGAGAGAGAGAGAGAAAGAGAAAGCTCTTAGATCCTTGAACTCCAATATCTTGAATATTCGGGTGCTTCAAGGATTAGCGCAGAACTCTGGATCGTCGGGTATTTACAGTTTCCGCTAGTGTAGTTACAAAGTCGAAGCTCCGTGTGAAATCGATCCGTCACACTTGATTAATATTTCTCCAAGATTATCAATATTCTCTATGTTACGTTCGTTTAGAAAACTCGAGTCGCGTGATCGGATGGTTATCCAAGCAAGACGAGGTCTTTGCTTAGAAACTACGGAGTGTCCTTGGATCCTCAGAAACTAGCGGGTCCTCGGAGATGCTTTGTACATTCGGTCGCAGGTACGTGACCTCGGACGTTCCTCACGATCGTCTACTTCGCCTCAAATCCTCGAATCCTTGTCATGAACTTCGTCGAACCTTCCCGAAGCGGACGACGATCCTCGAGCCTCGAGTAAATCCTCGCGTTCCAGCTCGGGTTTCTCGATTCCGGCGTAAACGGGCTGCAAGACGAGGGGAAGGGGGTGCGCGACATCTAAATGGACCGTCCGGTGGTGGTGTTTTCTCTCTCTCCGGAGCCTCGTCCCGCTACCTCGGCGACATCCTGCGGATCGGTGTCCGATACCCCTCTCTTTCTCTCTCCAATCTCACCGCGAGACGCGATCACTCGGAGGATTCGCTGACAATCAGCCGACCACCACCAGCCGTCGTCACTCGCTCATGACAGAAAGCCCGGAAGCTCGGTCTCTTCCCGTCAAGCCCGCGACGTCTTCTTGCGAGCCTGTGCTCTCGCGATCAGCTGTACACCCCGAAAAGACTGTTGAGCTCGCGGGCGTGACGGCGAGCTCCCCCTTTGCTCGAGCCTGAAATATCAATAAATCCGAGCATGAGCATTGAGCTCTCGCGAGAGCAACGCTTTTCTGCTGGAACGGCCAGGCGATTTGTCGCCCGCCGAGCCCCAGAAGCAGTCGCGTTCAAATCCGCCAACTCGCGGCTTCAGGACGATCCTGTCCCACGGTGCGACGTGCCGAATCGCCAGTAAAGTTTGCGTCTGATAGAATCTCTTGGTTCTCCTCGAAGTGAGATTTACGGTGGATTAATTGACACCGGGGATCTCCGACGTGTTTTGTTAGTATACATTGAAGGGGGATTAATAATGCAAAGAGGAGAAACTCAAAATGAATGTGGAACTTTGAAAGTAAAAGATAAATAATCCTTTCAATTTTCTCGCAGACCGGGATATTTATTCTTGATGAAGTTTCAGACCCAATTCTTCGCTCTTCTCCGAGATGCTTTCGTAGCAAATCAATTTATAACGAGATATCCTCAAGCTCCCCCTTTCTTTCCTTTTCTAAGATAAGAATAAACGTTTATTTGCAGAATCGTGCCTGAGATTATTTTCCGAACCGTTCCTCCTGATTTTGCGCCGTTCGATTGATATGCCTCAGCCAAAAGATACGAAAGGATCGTCTCGTTACGATTTAACGTGCATCCGTTTACACGGGCAAAAATCAATAAGTGCAGGAGGAGGAGGACGGAAGAGCAAAGTTTCAACAATGTGAACAACGCGGAACACCCACGACGGAAAAAGACGTTATCACGCAACGCCGTGCTCTGCGAAAACGCGAAGTGAATTTAATTAACGCACACCCCATATACGCTCCACTATCGAAACCACAATGCCGCCTTCATCGCGTGCAGCCCCCCGGCAAAATTGGCGCAAGGCACGAAGGGCATTCACTGGAGCATCATTGAGAACGTAAAGATCCTAACTGATAAAAGATACGTTTTCCATCGAACGCATTCCGGAATTTTAGTCGGGGCATCATGACCTTGTATTTTCCAATCTTTTGTCGCTTGAATTCGCACTGTCAAATCATAAATCGTCGAATTACGATTTTAACATCGGATCCTCGATCCTCGGACATTAGAATCCTTAAAACTCGTTTAGATCAGCGAGTTTACAAATCCTTGGATCTTCGATTTTTCTCTTTATCTCAAGCTTTAAATTTGCTCTTCTCCTCTTCTTCTCTTCTTTTTAAATTCTTTAAATTTTACTTTGGTCTCTTGGATATTTCAAGCTTTTAATATTTAAAGTTTCAGAAGAATCTACGAGAGTCTGATGTGGAAAATTCCGATCGAACTGTGGAACCGTCGAATACCACAATTTTTGAATTTTGATCTCTTGAAGATTTCAAGCTGTTGTTCAGAATCAAATGAAGCCATCAAATCGATGTCAAATCGATGTCGATTCGATGGTTCATTTCTCGCTAGGAACAATCGAAATTACATCGAATCGATGTCAAATCGACGTCCATTCGATGTTAATTTTTCACTGGACGATATATGGAAATTAATGACCGATTGAATGACACATTCATTAATATGAATACGTATCGATTTCCAAATATCGTGTCATCAAATTGGTAACGAAATAAGTTATCATTAGTATTAATAAGGTAAATTTGTTAACACTTCACGTAGTATCGATTCAATACAATTACTAAGCAGTCATAAAGATATCAACAAAACAGTCTAGTCTCATATTGATCGTAAGCTGACTTTTTAACCTCGATGAAAACATTATAATAAAAATTAATGCAAAAAATATTGAAATCGGAGATCCACCACAATAAATGTGATTTCATTCTTATTAATTGACTTTCATCGTTATTAGCTGTAACTATAATTATTTTTGCATTAATTTTATTTCTGATAAATTCTGAATTATAATTAAACAGGTATTAAACTTAATATATAATCGATATGTATGGATAAAACAGTCGCATGTTTCGAATTGTTCGTGAATATATCTTAGAACGAATGGATACAAAAGTATCAATTTCAGACATAAATGTATCGATAGTATCAAAATGTCAGTGTAACATCACTACTAAAAATAGTCCGACTAAATTCAACAAAAATCAACGAGTGTCTAATGGAAAATCCCACGCAGTGGATTGAATTTTGAACTTCGGAGTTGGGTGCCACAATACTCGAATCGATCCGAGCATAAAAATTCCTCAGGATCTCTGATTACTGCGATCTTGTTTCTTGTTTTTTTCCTTTTCATTTTGCGGAATATTAAAACAGGTTCTTTGGATTCCGGAATCTTGGATTCTCGACGTTCGAGAGCCACTATTGATCCGAATAGCGATCGATATCGAGCGAATCGTTCCTCAATCTCGAGCGGTGCATAGCTCAGCGTAGTTTTACGAGCCGCTCGTCCTTATTGCCTGCGTGAGGAGTTCAGTGCACCGCGGGCGCATCGCGACTCGGAATAAGAATAAGCCGAATCTCTCTATTGATTCACCTGGAAACCAAATCGATATCCGTGCGCGGCACAGGCGCTCACTTCGTTACGGATCGGCCAACTTTCCTTCAATCGAGTTGAGTTCGTCGCCCGTTTAAGCAAACTCTGCCAAATCCGGCAACTTGAAAACGCGCTCTGGATTTTTCCGCGGCCCGAGAAGTATTTACAGTTCCACCAAAAATCACGATTCCGCGAGAATTCGTCAGCGGCTGAAGGGAATATTCCGATCTTGCGAGATTACGTCCGTTAAATCAATCACGAGCTTAATTTCCTATCGAATCAATTTAATGTAACGTTTAATTATTAAGTATTTTCTATCGGCTTTGAAAGGTGCGTGTAAACGTTTTTCATCTCGTCGTGAGAAGATGCGAGAGATCGATATTGCCCATCAATTTTGAAAAGTGGCCAAGACTTTTGATCATTGGGTTTGAAAATGAATAAGAAAATCAATTTGTTTACGGAGGATGAAAACTTGGAGTTCCTCGGAGACCTTTGGGATCCGAAAGATCCTTCAAAGAAGGCGGAAGAGAAGCCTGTGACTCGGAAGTATCGCACAAAGCATATGAAGCAGTTTCCGGAATTATACCGAAGCGATGTCTCGATTCACCCCAGCTACACTGGCCTGAAAAAATTGCCATAGTAAGAACTTATCTACTTAAAACATCAATACATATTATTTCATTTATTTATTTATCTTAACTTGTAAATACATCCTCACAGAATGATCTATTGGTTCAAAATAATTTTGGAAAACTTGATCAAGAATTCACAACAAATTTGCACAAGATCATGTAATTGTACTGGTATAAATCCTTATTGAATAAAACTTTATAGTTCCTCCTTTAATAGAAGAGCGTTAATTTTGATTGCATCAAATCAAAGATGTTTCGAAGAGTTGCATCCAAATAAAAGAACCATCGTTTATAAAAAGCGCTTGAGTCAACGTCATCGTACGATCCGTATGATTAATCTCGTTCATATCTCGCGATTTTTCAAGCCACGTGGTCTGCAGGCATCGTGTGCAAAGGATCAGGCGACAAATCTTCCGGCAGCTAAATCGCGAGATCGAACACTTCGCGATGATACAGATGTTCGCCCTCGACGGCGTGAGGATCGATCGTGTCTTCAGTGTCGGCATGTCGGCGAAATCGTTGATCGTGCCGGATCCATTAACGGAGAAAGAGAGACGTCGACTGAACGATCTCCTCCGAGATACCTGAGGAACTCTGTGCAATTTGATATTTTTTTCTATTTTTTTAGATAAACCGTCTCGTGGTTTTTACGCGTTCTCTTCCCTCAATTCTTGTTTCTTCTGAGTCTGAAGCTACGGCAGTATTCATTCCTTTATCTGTTGCAATGCCTGTTGTAGTGTATTAAATGTAATTATTATTAATAAATTCGTAATGTAATGATTAAAGTTATTAATATTAATTGATTTGGATTTCATATCAATTGTATTTATAAATAATAAAAATAAGTAACGAGAGAATAGTGAAAGAAATAAGTAAATAAGTAAGATATATAATGAATAAAAACAAAATAATGTAGTAAAAGAATTAAATTGCAATAAAAAATATTTCTATATTATATAGTTAAGCAGAATACTATATATACTTTTATTCCTATGTTGGACAAATGCAGGAACAAAAGAATTCACTACATGTCAAATGCACAATAACCGCTTGACGTTTCAGTTGAAGACAATTTTTCCAGCATTCACATTCAAACCGCGGAGAACGAGTTGTAACGCTGAAAGCTCTCGAGAATCTTTACGAGATGTTTCGGAATACATTTCAGAGCGGATTTTTGTCCATCCTGTACAGTTGCGGGTCATCTCCTCTGGAATTATGGGATATGCACGTCAGTTCTTATCTTACTCGTCTATAAATAAAATAATAAACAACGTTATCGGAGTGATAAAATGTCAGGAGATATATTTATGCGTTTCAAGATAGACAGCTGTAGTAATGGACTTGCATGACATAATTATAAAGAGATAATAATAATTTATTATTGCGCATTCTATAATAATTCAGGTAAAAAATGGATATATACGAAGGATTATGGACGAAGAAATAAAGTCGTTGGCGTTGGAGATAGCCGGGACCAACGTGGCGACCACCTATATTTTCTGCCCAGCAGACCCGAAGAAAGTGCTTGCTATTAGACTGCCCTTCCTCATCCTCATTGTCAAGAATATGAAGAAGTACTTCACGTTCGAGATAACAGTAAAGACTGTGTGAATATGTAATTAAAAAATGAAGCTTCCAATTCTTGTCTTTTCTAAATAATATTTTTTTATTCCCTAATAATGTTTTTTATTTCTTTTTTCAAACAGAGAAGAGTTCTTATCTTCCTCGTTGAATAAAGTTGTGTAGTTCCTTCCTTAAATATTGTTTTCTTATATATAAAAGTTCTATTTTTTCTTCTATATATTTCTTTTCTTTGTACAATATCATTCTACGTATCTATTCTTATAGAAAAGGCTTTTGTTATTTTATCTTAAAATAAAACTTCCTATTTCTTCTGCTTTAAATAAAGCTAATAAATTATTTGCTTTCTTTTCTCTATTGTATCTCACAAGTTCTAACGGAAATGATTTAAAAAATGTTATCTACATATTTATAAAAAAAGACTTCTTTTTTATTTAATCTTAAAATAAGACCTTCTATTTTCTCTGCTTTAAATAAAGCTTATAAATTATTTTTTCCCTTTTTCCTATCATATCTTATAGGTTACGATGAAAATGATTTTAAAAATAATCCGAACGACGATTTGTTAAACAGATATTGGACGACAAAAATATGCACAGAAGGTTTCGCGTGAGCAATTTTCAGAGCGCCACGCGCGTTCGCCCGTTTTGCACGTCAATGCCTATTGGGCTTTTGGGCGGTTGGAATCAGATTCAGTTTAATCTGTGTGACTTCACGCGAAGAGCCTATGGCACGAATTACATCGAGACCACCAGGATGCAGGTTCACGCGAACTGCAGGATCAGACGAATTTATTTCGCCGACAGGCAGGAATCCAATGCGCGATATCGATTAATTCTTCTCTAAATAAATGACGGCCCCGAGTTCGGAATTGCAAAAAAACACAATTAATCACCGCTTTCGTAAACTAATTCCATTTATTTCAATTGATTTAACCGAGAAGACGGATATTGTGAATTCCAATGCGTTTTTCCGGTAGTCTTATTCCTGTTTTTCGATAAATTATTTCGCGTGCCTTTCAACTAAGAAAGTTATAGCCGCTAACGGATTAATTTAGCGTACCGCAAATGTTTCCCAGGCTTTACTCGGAAGATGAATTGCCGGAGGACTTCAGGCTCTTCTTCCCGGTGCATCGGAAGAAGTGCGTCAGGGAGGAAGTGCCGAAGATACCAAGCGTGGAGCTTGAGAAGCCGCCGTCCATCGAAAGAACACCGAGCATCGAGACGGAAATAACGGAAGAGAAACCGATCAAAGAGCCGGAGATTCCGAAGGACGAAGCGGAACCTGAAGAACCGTTCGAAGAACCTGAAGAGGCGAAAGAGGTAGTTGAATGGGAAGATGAGGAGGAAGAGAGGTTCGAAGAGGAAGAAGAGGTGGAAGCCGTAGAAGAGGTCGCGGTCCTCGATGAAGGGGCTGAAGCCGTAGAAGAAGTCGCAGTCCTCGACGAAGAGGCTGAAGCCGTGGAAGAGGTCGCAGTCCCCGACGAAGAGGCTAAAGCTGAGGAAGAGGCCGCGGTTCTCGGTGAAGAGGCGGAAGCTGAAGAAGAGGCAGCGGTTCTTGGCGAAGAGGCGGAAGCTGAAGAAGAAATTCCGGTCCTTGACGAAGAGGAAAAGGCTGAATTTGCGGATGAAGACGAGGGTGAAGGAGAGCGTGCAGAAGATGAAAACGAGAGAGAGAACGCAATAAACGAGGCGGAGTAAATGGAACGTAATTTTCGATCGGGATGATCGGCATTATCGACGGTACGATCAGATTTTAAACAATAGGGACAGATTGTTCTGCGCAAAAAAGATAAGTCGAAAGTGCGAATAATGATTGACACTAAGTCTATCGTCCCGAGAAAATTCAGCACGTGAAAAAATTATCCATCAATGTTTCCGTGTTGTTTTTTCATGACGGATCATCTTCAAGTTTGCAGCGCTGATAATAAATCCTGTATGTACTTATTGAAGCGATTGAAGAACGATTATTTTTTGGGAGATCACTTATATTTTAGATGTAGAAATAAACATCTCGATGGGAAGAGGCTGCTCTTTTGTTTCCTTAGCTGATTTCTGGGGGTTAGTCAAATATTTATTTCAATCTCCGTTTTTCACGTAATTGTAATTTATTGTATAGGCTCTGTACATTCTCCTCTTCGAGTCGTTTAAACGAAGAACGAAAGCGTTATTATTGCGCACGAACTTACATACGAAATTTTATATTAAAATTAAAAAAGTAAGTTCCAGAATGGTTGATGGTTAAACTGATGGAAACTGAGAATGTCGATGGAAAATCGTTCAGAATCGGAGTTAGGACACGTCGTAATCTTCGTCCTCGCGTTTCCTCTTCAATGAAGAATCTTCTGTTTCCATCTTCACAGGCGGCAGTGTCGGCGCGGAGGATATCTGTATCTTCGGTTTCGTCACCTGTGCCTTTACCGCTGTGGTGGCCGTCGTCGCTAAGAGAAATATTCGAATATATTTTAAAAATCAAATAAATTCACTCACACTTCTAATCCTTTATATATATATATATATATATCTTTTTTAATTTCAAATTATTGTTAAATTTAAATACATTTGAATATAATTATTGTTAAATTTAAATATACATGAACACAATTAAATTTAATTTCAGATATACGTGCAATTGGCCTCTTTCTTAATATAAGCTTTTCTTGAACGCTTTATAATATATATTATTTAGAATATGTATGTATATATATGTATGTGTGTATGTATATACATATACATTCATAATTTTTAACAGATTTTAATTCGACAATCTGTACAATTGTGAAATATACTTCACAATTACATTTAATTTAGATCAGAATCTTACCTGATGAAGGTCTGAAGGACACACGAAACGGAATGGAGGAATGGGAGCGAAGTAGGTGGAAAGAAGCTAGGATCCAAAGAAGAAACAGATAAATTGTAGACAACTTAAGGAGAAAATAAATGAGCGGTCTATTACCTGTCGAGAACTTCAATACTGGTTTTGGTATGGAAATGCTCTGTGTCCTGGCAACAGTAGCAAGTGTTCCAGGCCTCTTAACAATAGACAAACCAGCCTTATTTCCTTCCACTTTTACCCTTGACTGTCCACCGGATGCGTTATTGCCTGTCAGCGGATGTCCGGGTTTCTGCACAACCTTCTTTGTGGCATTCTTCAGTTTATAATTTGCTGAGTTTAAACAATACCTATCAGGTGGAAGTCTAAGGCCATTGTTAGGTTTTACGAAGGGCAACGGGACGTTGTTCTTGGAGCGTGCAACTTCAAGTAACACGTCTCTTGGTGGTGGATTCGTGAACGTTCGCTCCAGCTGCATTTTTACTGCCAGTCTGACATCATCCAGGTCGATAAACTTCTTCTTCGCATGATTGGCATATACCCTACTATCGTCCAATATGCATGTGACGTATCCTGCAAGAGATTCAGATCTGAAGCTATGTGCAAAGCAGGTGACTGAGCAAGAAAAAGAAGAAAAAAATGAAACTTACGATAGGTGAATTCCAACAACTGGTTAATGACTTTGGGCTCGTAATCCGTTATCCCCATATCCTTCATGATTGACATAATGACTTGGGCATCCTTAGGGATATGTTTTATGTGGCTCATGGTTTTCGTTTTCTCTGCCATGTTGAAAAAAATAAAACAACTCTCTGTCAAGAGAATCTGTCACAGAAATTACAAACACTGCATCTTTGAGGTTATGTTTACGATCCTGTACCGTCGAAGGTAACGCGCATTATGAACAGTGGGTGCGTTCAGAAGACATACGGTTGTGTAAAGCCGGGTCTGCAATAGATGTAGCAAACTTTAAGCCGTAAGAGATTGACCAATCACAGTTGAATGTGAGAAGAATAATCGATCGGTGTTGGTTGATTGTGATTGGTCAATTTCTTACAGCTTAAGGTTTATTGCACCTATTGTAGAGTGATTATTGCTTTTGATTGAAGTATTCTTTAAGATCCACAGTAGATCTAAAAGAATATTCCAATAATAGCGAGAACTCACCAACCGTTACGTTTTTTGAACGCAGCTCGTTTCATCGGCATCACCATGATTAGAATAGCACTACTTGGAAACGAAAAAAATGTTTTTGACTTACGACCTTAATTTAGGAGAAAAACGGTAGGGATGTTCATTGGAATTAATAAAATGTCCATTCGGTCAGTTATTTGATCATATTATTGAAAAATGAAATAATCGTCTCATCCGTCATTGAGTCGTACTGCCAAGATTCGCATAAACAAGAAGGAAATGTCTACTGGACATCTACCGGACTTTCTTGTAACTACTTTATCTCGTCTGGTGTGGCGCTGTTTCGAGTGAAGAAGTGGTTCGAATAAATTTTAGTTGTTTCGTGGCGCGTCGCCATAACGTGTTTCTACGTGTTTTCCTCGGGAAATTTTCTGTCACCCAATGAAGATGAACATCACGTCAGCAGGTAAACGTCAAATCATGATCCATTTGTCAAAGTATATTGGTTTTCTATTGATTAGGCTACGTTATGCGATAATTTAATTAAATACAGATGCATTTTTGCACGATGATTTGCAAATCGTGCGAGACCCAACCTCGAATTCCTTCCGACAATTTCGAAGCATCCATTGTTAAAAATGTTTCAAAAATAGAACGATAAATTGTAAATGAATTTATGAAGCAATTAAAAATTTTATCATGTTTTACTTGTTATTTAATTATTATTAATTTATTATTTACTTATTATTTAATTACTTATCTATCGAGCATTTGTCTTATGTAACTATATACTTTATCTTAACATTCCTATTTTAATTTTATCTTAATAATTGATCAGTTTAATTTGAATATAATTATTTTTGCAGCTGGCATAATCTCCTTACTGGAGGAGCCAATGCCTGAACTGAAGGTCTTCGCTTTAAAAAAGCTGGATATGATAGTCGACGAATTTTGGCCGGAAATCTCTGAAGCCATAGAAAAGATGTGCGTAAGAAATCAGTTGCCAAATTTATTCTTATACAATTTACAATACATCTCTTCATCAGTCCATGTTTTCTTTTGTCTTAGATTTGTATTCTTCTTTCACATATTTGATGTATAATTGATTTATTGATCTATTAATTGATAATATAATTTATTTAAACTATTGTAAAGAAATTTCACAATATAGACATTAATGTCCTTTTTGCAGTGAAATTCTGCACGAGGATAAATCGTTCAATCAGCATGAGCTGGCTGCTTTGGTTGCTAGCAAAGTATACTATCACTTGGGGAGTTTCGAAGATTCTTTGACTTACGCTCTCGGAGCTGGAGAACTGTTCGATGTCAATGCTCGAAATGAATACGTCGATACAACCATTGGTACGGTGGAAATATTATTATTATAATGGCGTTTAATTTTCTAGCGGTGGAAACTTATGTGATTGAATTTTCAGCCAAGTGCATCGATTACTATACTCAGCAACGTGTTTTGGAGGCGGAGGGCAAGCTTCCTCCAGGTAGCAAGGGCATCGATCCTAGACTGGAGGGTATAGTGAATAGAATGTTCCAACGCTGTTTAGATGATAATCAGTATCGTCAAGCTTTAGGCCTTGCTCTTGAGACACGCAGAATGGATGTATTTGAGGCAGCCATTATGCAATCTGTGAGTATCTATATTTTACCGGAATCTGTCATTTACAAATGTACACCGAATATACGCAACCTATAATATGTACTCGCAGATTAATAAGTGATTTATTTCCATTCAATAACTGATCAATTTCTTCCGAATTTCAATTTCTTCTGCACAAAATGAAAAAAAAAATATAAGTATATTCAGAGAAAAATATTTATTATCTACAAAATATACTAATACTAATAATATTTCATAATTATTGATAATATTGATTGACCAATATTGATTCAAGATGATTTATTTAGATTTATGTTGATAACTTACTAAAGAAATTGAAGAAAAAGATGTTGATTTACATCGATTTATATTTAGTAATTTATCACGAAGAGATCCGATTTATTAACCGCGAACTCGTCCAAGATCTCTGAATCTGTGAAAAATACGAAATGAAATTCTGCCCCGCAGGATGACGTGAGCGGAATGTTATCGTACGCCTTTCAAGTCGCCATGAGTCTCATCCAAAACCGCGGATTTCGCAACACCGTGTTACGCTGCCTGGTCAGTCTGTATCGGAACTTGGGCACTCCCGACTATGTCAATATGTGTCAATGCCTGATCTTCCTGGACGACCCACTGGCCGTGGCCGAGCTTCTCGACCGACTGAGCAAGGGCTCGCAAGACTGTGTGCTGATGGCGTATCAAATTGCCTTCGATCTATATGAGTCTGCGACGCAACAATTCCTCGGACGCGTCTTGCAAGCTTTGCGTGCCACCGCACCCATTCCGGGCGCGCTGATGGTTAAACCGGTGGTTAAACCCGTCGCCGCTACCACCGTCGCTTCCAACCAGGCCAAGCCTGTTGAAGTTACCACGGAATCCGCGAGCATGGAGACCGATAACACTGCTGCTCCTGCGGAAGATAAGGCCGAACGCAGCGTCGAAAGTTTGGTAAGTGAATAAACTCGATTTATCATTTAAATGTTATATGATGAATTGTCATTGTGTGATATTTTATCTTCTTATGTTATTTTAATATATGTATTAATATTTTTAATATTAATATTAACTATTAATCATTTCACTAATATTATTAATAATTCAATTAATATTATTATTATTCGCATGAAATCAGAATATTAATTCAGAATATTAATTATAATGCAAATTATTTTTTCATTTATAATTATTTATGGCATTTTGGGGTATTTTTTTTTTCAGAATGCGGAGGAGAGAGAGCAGCAAGAACGTGTGGACGCTTTATCTAGTATTTTGGGTGGCGAGGTGTCGATCGATCTACACTTGCAGTTTCTTATTCGTAGCAATCATACCGATATGTTGATCCTGAAAAACACCAAGGACGCCATACGGGTCTCGATTTGTCACACCGCCACCGTGATCGCCAACGCTTTCATGCATTCGGGAACGACCAGCGATCAATTCCTGAGGTTCGTATCTATCTCGAAGATTTTTCCTCGATGCAGGAACTTCGTCGTCGTTATTAACTTCTTGAAGTTTTTATTTATTCGAATTTTTTGACAGGACATCGAAGAAAAAAAAAACAAATCCAAGAAATGTCTCGTAACATTTTCTTACGTTTTTAATTTTAAAATTGCAAGAAGTTTCAGCGGAGTTTCTCCGGAAGTGTCAGCAATTTCCCGTGCAATTTCAGAGACAACTTGGAGTGGTTGGCTCGCGCTACTAATTGGGCGAAATTGACCGCAACTGCGTCCCTGGGAGTGATACACCGGGGGCACGAACAAGAAGCTTTAGCTCTGATGCAGTCTTATTTACCGAGAGATTCCGGTGCCGCTGGTGCCGGATATTCCGAGGGTGGCGGTTTATACGCCCTGGGATTGATCCACGCTAATCACGGAGCCGCCATCACGGACTACCTCCTGGGCCAATTAAAAGACGCCCAAAACGAAGTAAGACATGCTTCCACAGAAAACGTTTTCGTAACATTTCTTGACAAATTATACGTTAAGGCCCATTTATGCAGGCGGTAAACCGTTAACTTATGCCAGCACCGATAAGAAATTAGCGAATCATTGTCAGGTGTGAAAAGAATAATCGATTTGATTAGCCAATTTCTTTCAGCTTCAGCATAAATTAACGTCTTATTGCACAAATGGGTTTTTAAACGATTATTTCCCGACTATCAGTTCAGCGGTCGTATTTTACCTCCTATCCGTTATTTATTAAATTCTAACACGAAGAGACTATAAGTCCAAGTATAGTCGAAAATCGAGAGTCAGATTCGCACGACGCGATGCGATTTATCCTTCGAAACTCGTTTCAGATGGTCCGTCATGGTGGCTGTCTCGGACTCGGTTTGGCCGCCATGGGCTCCCATAGGCAAGACGTCTACGAACAATTAAAGTTTAATCTGTACCAAGATGACGCGGTAACCGGTGAAGCCGCTGGAATCGCCATGGGAATGGTCATGCTGGGATCCAAATCCACACAGGCCATCGAAGACATGGTCGCGGTAAGTTTGAAGCATGCTTTGCACTCGTTATACTTCGGCTTATCTTATATTTAATTCCTACCTACTATACTGTGCTATTATTACTCGCTACTGTGAGAAGTGAGAATACAACGGCGGTTAGGGTGACGTTATTTGCTGCATGTTATAATGTCTTAATTGTACACCTGCCTCTTCTATAAATGTATACTAGTCCGGCGAAAATGAACAGACCTATAGTTGGAGTATTTCCTACTGACTGCTAGTATATTTCACTTCCAACGGTAGGATCGTTTTAGCGACGCGTTTCATGAAACTTGAAACTTTTATCGACCTGTTAAATGAACGTTTCGGACACGCGAGAACTCATTATTGATACTAATATGCCCGTCGTTGGTGGGCTCGCGAGAAGACGGTGTATTTTTAAATAAATTACCTTTAATATCGATTTGTAGAAAAGTAATCATTAGAAGAGATCATCATCCGAGCGCGAATGGCGACTTGCTGCCAGTTTTCAGAGTGTACTCCCCCTTCGCACTGAAATCGACAAGCAAACGGTCACATTAATCGATCGTCTCGACTTTAAAACGGTTATTATTGTTCTTTCCGATCCGCGCGCGAAATAATACCGTGCTTAATACCCCCGATAGAACTAATTTACACTTATCGATTTATCAAATAAAATCGATAAAATTTATTAATTGGTATGAGAAAGGGAGACCGGTCGAAGTGCAAACGTGTACTGCACGCATGCACGTGTGAGTGTATGTTATCTGTAAACACATTTTAATATTCTTGGGGATGCACACACAAGTCGGCCGGTACTTGAAGTAACGTTAGAAAAGCGTAATTTTTCACGAAGTGAAGCTTTCAAGGCGTCAGACAAAAACTTGACCCATTTCTAGAAAAGAAAAGAAGAGAGGAAAACGGGAAAATATTCTATTGTACTTACTTTGGATCGAGAACCGGTCCTCCCATGAACACGCCCTCCTCGGTGCGAAAACCTTTGGGATTCATGACAGATTCGGCGTAGTACATGTAAGACCTCGAGTGGGCGCACACACCTGCATATTGGCGCATCAATTAGCTCGTTAACGTAATGAGCCAACAAGCGGTAGCGACGTTGATCGTCGCCGCGAACCTTACGGGATATTCGCTCGGTTGCTCTCGGCGCGCACACACGGCCGCGGGAATTAAAGTCTGTGACCGTAACGCGGCTCATCCCGCGTGAAACTTTGCTTCGGCAGTCGACGCGTTTTATTTCGTTTTCGGGAGAACAAAATATGTACATATCTAATTGGCAAAAATGCAAAAATGTCGAGGAACCGGCGAACAAACCCACCCCTTTCAGTATCGCATCTCGAATTTTACGCGCTACTATCAATTTTTTCTCATGATTTTTATTTCATTTCCAGAAGGATGAAATATATGTATATATATATATGTATGTATGTATATATGTATGTGCATACGAATGTATGAATGAATACATATGTATGTACTGACGAAAATGCAAAAATTGCGAGGAATCGGCAATCAAAATGATCTCTTTCAGCGTCGTATCTGGAACGTGGAATTTCACGCGCCGTTTAATTTTTCCTCACAATTTTTATTTTACTCCCGAAAGGATGAAATATATATAGTTATAATTGACAAACTTTCAAAAAATGCGTAAAATCAACAATCAAAACTACACGTTTTAGCATCGTATCTCGCGAATGTGGAATTTCACACGCTACTATTAATTTTTTCTCATGAATTTTGCTTCATTTCCGGAAAAAGTGCAACATACATATATGCAACTGGCAAAAATGCAAAAGTGCGAGGAATCGGCAATCAAAACCACCCCTTGCAACATTTTGAACGTGAAGTTTCACGCTCTATTAATTTTTCCTCGCGATTTTTGTTTCATTTCCGGGAGAATGAAACATACATATATGCAATTGACGAAAATTCAAACGGTGCGTGGAATCGACAATCAAAACCACCCTTTTTAGCACCGTATCTCGCGAACGTGGGATTTCACGCGCCACTATTAATGTTTCCTCACGACTTTTACCTCAATTCCAGAAGGATGAAACATACGTATATGTAATTGACTAAAAGTTAAAAGGTGTGCGGAATCGACGATCAAAACCACCCTTTTCATTGCACCATGCAAAATTTCACGTGCTGCTGTTTATTTTTTCTTATGTTAATTCGACTTTTTTCCCGAGTGATGGAATTCGCGATGTTCCCTTGGAAAAAAAAATTCACCCCGTTCCGATTTCTCCTTTCACGCAGTATCAATCTCTCGCGGTATTCGCGCTGCGTGTTTAGAAGGAGCATCTTCTCCGTGTGTGCTCTGTCAAACAAGCCGGTAATTCAGTACTGAGCGTTTCACCGGCTGTTTCAAACGCCCGTGTAATATACGCTCGCCTTTACGTCAATTTACGTTAGACGGTGTTTGCGTGTGCGCCGTTGCATCCGATTGAAAGCGTCATTATTTACCGATCAAGTCGATCAGGCCGCATCCCGGCTGATTCCTGCCGCCGTTTGGGTAAAAGTCGGCAGTGCCAACCGCCTCCTTCATGCCCAGAGAACCTGCATTCGTGTGAATCACCTGAACCCGAAGCGCGTCCGTCTTGTCCACCCTGAATCCCGGATCCTTTCTGGAGAACGAGGGTTTTGCAGGATCCAGAGCTGTGAAATCGACGAAGTCGTAGTTCTTAGCTTATTAGTCGAGGTAGCAGCTAAAAGAGAACCGAAGCCTCTTCGAACAGCGGCCTTTCAAGGCAGCTGAAGAGGAAAAGGCCGGTATTCTTTTCTCTTTTCTTGATTTTGTGATCACTTTATCAGGCATGGGAGCGAGCCACTTTTCTTATTTTCCCTCACTTATTTAGAAACACCTAATTTTCATCCCATTTTTAAGAAAAAATTCCCTTTTCTCATTTTTTTTTTTACTCGGTTTGAGTCTTTAAAAACATTCGATCACAAGAAATTATGTTCAATAACTCTAGTTTCTTGAGAAATACAACAAAAGATTTAAAGAAAATAGAAAGTAACAATGATTTCTCCAACATAATGTTCATAAAATGAAGAATTGTGATTTTATTTTTAAGTTATTTTTGTTAGGTTTGTCCGAAAAACAGACAATGATCGACATGAACACAACTGGCTATGTTTTCTTTAAATTACGTAGTGAAATCGATTGTCCACGTTTGTCCATCCATAATTCTTGTTTGTCCAGCAAGCCAGAACGAATTATTAACAAACAAACCGAAATAAACGGAGAATGCTTATGAATACACTTAACTGTATTTTCTTTAAATTGAATATTATTGAGTAATATTCTTAAAAGGTTGCTCGAAAGAATTAGTCTGTTTTCAATGGAAAAACCCGTAATTAAAATATTTTTATTCATTTTAAAAATTTATTTTCGATTAACGGAAAAGTCCGGGATATTCCAACACCCTGGAAATATATTGCAATATAAAACACACAGAATTTCTACAAAATTTATTGTATCTGAATATGTGCCTAAAACTGAGTTTAAAGTAAATTTTCCGCTTTATACATCATGTAACTTCTTTTGTTCCTCAACATTCAAATTTTACTCCTCATTGACTTTCGCTATGAGGCTCAGCGTTTTTAATCTCTTATGGAATGATGTAATAAATAAATAATTTAATTTTTAACGTACAAATTACTTGATGAATATTCGCATTTTACTCATTTTTTAAAGGCTGCCTCATTTTCTTACTTTCCCAAGGATGAACCTCACTTTTCTCCCTATCTTTGACTAGCTAAACTGTGCCTGATTTCTTCATATATTCACTCATTATCATATATTTATCATATATATTTTTACCGTTATTTAATTATCACTCTCTCTATATTGATTTCATCAGTTATTGCTCGCGCAGTTTTATTTCCGCCGAGATTGGGTTTTCCTTCAATTAACTCAACAGGTAGACGTTGCGCGGTGTGAAAAAGGAGAAAAAAAATACAAATACGTCATGTTATTGTATCATTTTGGTCAGTTCACTCACCGACCACCCCGCTGATGTCGCTGTCCGCTGAACGAGCGGCGAGACCGGCGACGTGCGCTCCCAATGAGTGCCCGATCAGTTTGACCGTCCTTGGATTCATACTCGCGGACTTCTCCAGGAAATTCAACATGAGAGCCACGCGCTTCGCCACTTGAAACACGCCGCACACGGATTTCCAATATATCAAGTAACTGGCCGCCTCCTGCCAGTCCACCAGGATGACGTTGTAATCGCCAACTTGGATGTATGCTGAGAATGTCGGAAGGTATCGAAAAGAAAACGTCAGAAGTCTGGAGAGTCGAGGCGAATGAAGGATCAGAGTTGCAAATATTGTCGTCAATCTTACCGTCCCGTACGTGAGTGCAGGCGACGGTGTTGGCATTTCCGTGCCATCCGTGAGTGACGAAACGAGTGGGACGTTTGGCATCCCAAAAACTGTCCTTCACGCTGTTCAAGTCGTTGATGAACAGTTCCTGCCCGACTTTCGGATTGTTTCTGTGTAGACAAAGGAGAATGAGATCGGTTTCGCGTCGTGGAAACGACGATTCCAGCGATCCATTTTCGACTTGTAATATTCACCGAGTGTACAGGTGGAAGGTAGTCTTCGCGGCGGCACTCGCTATCTGCGCGACTTCCGTCTCATTCAATGGAAGTTCGCTAACGTCGATCACGTGTGGAACCCCATAGTCGTTGGTGAAGATCGTGTAGTTCTCATTCGCGGTGAGAAGCGCCAGGAGAGGAGGATAAACTGCAAGCAAAGAGACAGCCCATTGAAACGGCTCTTCAAGACCAGATTAAACACGTCGTACATTCGAAAGAAAGGAAAAACACGGTTGATTTCCTTAAATTATTTCGTTGATACAAATCATGGGATTAACCGTATGTTTTCGTTGCTCTGACAAAAAAAAATAATAGCACCAAACGCATACAAGGTCGTTACCACCAACTACAAATGTGATTTCCTTGATTATAATTAATTTACTATGATTAATTAATAATTTCCAATTAATTAATTATTATAATTAATTATTGCACTATTCAATTATAGCGAGTCGCAAATATTAGACATTTCCTCCTCAGCGCGAAACCCGAGGACAATCGTTGCTCTTCGCGAATATGCGATTGTAAGAATAATCACGAACACGTAACCCTCGAGAAAACCGGATATTTTGTTTTTCACAGTTATACAATTACAAGTCTTAGAATAGATTTTTTTTTCGCCGAATTATCCGATGATAACTTCCTCCCTTTCACATACTTAATGCAATCGCTGGTACAGCCGCCATTTCTGCCTGTAAATTTGCTCGAGTTCGTAGGTGATTATGTTTACGACTCTTGCCGGTACTCTCTTTTATAGTCTGTTGACGACGGACACTGGTTTGCCGCAATCAATAAGCCGTCGATGATACGGATCGATAGGTGTAATTAATTCTCGCGTCAATTAATTGTCAAAGCGGATTAAGCGGAGGCAAAACGTCTTAAGATCGTAATCGTTCTCTCGAGAAAAAATGATAGTTTATGATCGACGATACTCTTAACCCGCGTCGATCGTATTATCTTATCGATGATAGACTAAATATGACTAAATACTTTTTATAATTAGTTCTTTGTCCTCTATACGTTCTGACGTCTTAGGTTTTAATATATCTGATTTATCTTGGTATCTGTGACATTAAATGAAATGTTTCAAATGTCTTAACTGGCTTGCTCAAGGTTGTTCACAGGTCAAATGTAATTTCATGAAAACAGTTCCCCGAAAAAAGCGAAACGCGAAAAGGCTCTCCGCCCGGGAAATTTTTCCCGTGGAAATTGAAAATATGAATTTATATAGATTGATTATCAAATTATCTGTCTTGAAAAATTCGAACGAGTTTCATCGAAAGGGGTTTTCAGTACGCTTTTATAGGGGAAACTTATCGCGATATAACAGAATGTCAGATTTTCGTAATTTATATTTTCTTAACACCGAGCAGATTTAACGGAAGTTTCAACTGTTTGTAGAAAAAGAGAATAAAGAAAGGTAGAAGACGAGAAGAACGCGAGTCGTTGCTGCATATTTTTGCGCCTTTAATCTGTGAGTTTCCACGCCGAGTTTCCCCAAAACAACGGTCGCGTTTTCGTCACGGTGTTTCCCGGAGAAAGTAGTTTTGCGCGGGGCTGAAACAAGCCTTAACTTTCGTCGCCGCTGGCCGCTGCAGCAGCAAGTCGATGCTAAACGAATCATAACTTGCTACTAGTCCGTCGGCTTAATCGAATTACCTATTACGGGTTCCATAATGTATCCTAGCGGCTCTGTGATGAAGTAACGTGACACATTTCGACCCTGCAAAAAGCAGCTGGCGCGCGTTAGTCGCGAAATCCGCTCGAAATAAATACGATTCGTCTTACGCTGTTGGGGGAAAGAGAAGAGAAAGAAAATAGCGTGCCATTCCGCGAAACCAAACTTCCGGAAAATTAACGAAGACGCGTTCCATTTCCGGGAGGAAAAAAAGAAATATCGCCACACCACGCTTTCGCACGTTTCGTTCCCAAGTTCCGTCTTTATTCGGAGTTACAGGGAGTTCCTCTTCTCTCCGCACGATGACCGAAAAATGCATCGCGATTTCTACAAATTAAATTATTTGAACTAATTCATCTTCTTTAAAGGAGTGTTCCAATTTAGACACGCGTTTTCAAGCCAAATTTTGGGGATTAAAATGAGAAAACCTATTAAAGCTACAGAACTGAGATTTTGCATGGATATTTATTCATATTTGAAATAACATTACAAATTTTTATAACTTATTTTATTAAAAATTATACAAGCTGGAGATCGATGCGCAAGCGGTATCGCGAAATATGCGTTCAATCGGGCGTATTGATTGCAGCCGCCCTAATTACCTGAAATTAATATACAAACACTTTTTGTAATTTAAATTGAGCGTAGCTATCATCGGAACCTCGAGAAATGCGAGTGTAAACATTTTTAACGAAGTCGCAACAAATCGTTAAAAGATTCAGGTTCGATTTTCTCGTAAATTTTGTAACTTAAGCAAGCTGGGAGAAAAAAGTATTGTGGAATATACACATGTATTGGAAATTCATTTACTTTAAATGTGTGCCAAAGTCGAGCCAACGTTAAACGTTTATAAGTTACGAGATTTTCAAAATCTTCAATTGTTTTAAACTAATATGTATGCGCAATACACACAGCAACAATCGACACATACAATGCACGCAATTTCGTTATCTTTTCTCATTTCGTTCAAATCTTCCAGGAACTTATTCTTGAGAAACATTCGAGACGTTTAAAGAAAAGAAAAAAAAGTAAAAATCGACTTTTTTTGGAGTTTGAGACTATAATATCCCCTTAAGTTAAATGATCTCCTGGATATTTTTCGGAGCTATCTTCGTTGTTACATAACATCTAAACGCTTACTAAATTTCGAGATAACGAACGGAGACTTTCCATCGGTGATGTGGTAGCTGGTATAATTACCTGTAAACTTTCGATCCGACAAGTGTGTTACAAGGTAGTGCAAAAGTTTATATTATCAAGTGTTCGCCACGAGGCTTCTTGTTGCAGATGTTTGTACGAATAAGTGGGAAAATATTTTCCAATGAAGAAGCTCCCGACGTGGATTCTTGGACAAAGTTCGTGAAATAAAAAATAATAAACCGCGCCGTCGCGTCTCAAGCCGTTAATTTGTTATTCATTGTTGGACTGGAAATTGCCTGGGTTGGAACGTTTGCAACTTCTTCGAAGGTTTGCACGAAGCAACGGGCTCGACTTCTTATCCGTGTTCCGCATCTTGCATTTAGTTCGTGTCCGTTTCAATTCGAGTAGTTTCGAGACGTTCGCAAAATTACACCGTGGTTGTAACGTTGTTAAACAGATTGGCAAACAGGATAAACTGTCGGTAGTGTTTGTAGCTTCAACTTCGCTCCGGATGCTCCGAAATCCGAGCTCACTTCGTAACGAGGGATTATCGTTCTCGTTAATTTTTACTTTGGAGAAACATTTTATTATTCATTCGCGGGATGTAGTCATTCTAGTAGTAGATTTTATGCAACGTGTCACGAGCATCGATTTGTACAGATTTTGGAATGTTGTCATTATGTAACACAAAGTTATGGTATCACTACGTAGAAGGGTCTTATCTTTTTTTTTATCCAAACTTTTTTTTATTTAAACTTTTCAATTAGGGCGTATCTCTTTAGTCCTCGTATTTCAAGTGTTGTAATGACGATATTTGAAGTTAATTTCTTAGTTTGAAATGACGTTCTTGGCATGTGTTTTTTATGCCAAAATATATAATGCCAGAGATGTCACGTGATTTAAAGGACCACTTAACACGTGTTATTTATTTTATAAAAATATATCGTAGGATGAAATATGCTGTTTTCTTTTTGACTATTGTGTATATAGAATATATAAATTTGATGCAAAATTAAATAATAATAATATTTCCTTTATTGATTGCTAATGATTACAGAATTTAAAAGTATTGAAGACGCTATGTTGAGATCGACTAAAAGGCGCATTAGCTAATTGATTTTACTGCCTTGCCTAAATATATATAAATGAATAATGATAATCAATAAGTGACGACACAAACACATAAAATTGAATTTAAATAGTAACGACGCAAAATATATGTTAAACAATATATAAATAATCAATTACCCAGTATTGACAAGTAATAAACGGTAAACGTAAATTAACTGTTCGATACGACATGTCTTAACGCGGCAGAACGGAAGCTGTCGAAAGAATTAATTGACCGAATTTCATGGAAGAGAGAGTTGTAAAGAGAGTTTGTAATATTTAATATTTAACTGCACAATATATGAGAATGCGGCACGATATGTGTTTGTTTTGTGACGAGGAATTGGCAATAAATCTTGGAGGCGAGTGTTGCATAATTCATCACCATGGCACTCAGCATTACGGTGAAGGAGATTGTAAAGATACTCTGGAATGCATGTACGAAGAACATTGTATACAGCGCTGGTGATGCACAAGCCGTTGATATATTTTGAGCCGGCCAGGATATGCGTTCATATTTTTTAATGCTATGGACGAATCTTAGATAGGCGTTTTTTGTACACATTGTACACGGTTGAGTAATTGTTGACTTAAACACGAGATGAAAACTACGTCTGCATAATCGAATAAGGATATAACAAAGGACTGAGAGGTTAGGAGTTTTTGGAAGAGGGAAAGCGTATGTCGGAGAGGTTGAAGTTTGCGCAAACGAATATAAGCAGCTGTACATTTGACCGTAACGTGATCCCTGATTCTGCAATTGTTAACGACAGTGTCGTTATCGTTATTTCGTCGTTGCACAGCTATAACATATGGCAGAAAAGCTGCGCAACGACACCGTAACAATAACGACATGTCGTTAAAAGTTACAGAATCGGCTTACTGCTGTGTGAATGACCATGATAAATCGACATGAAAACCAGAGATTTTAAGGATAAGGGAGGATGAAGGAAGAGTTAACATTAATGTCAAAGGAAGGGAAAGAGCAGAGGTTAGGAGAAAAGAAATAAAATAAAGAAATAATATTTATATGGGAAATTTCTTTTAATTTAATCGAACGTCAAGGAGTTAATATTCCTGCCAAAAACTCAAGAACGAATTCTTTTTCATGTTTACGTTACATCGTATTTGTCGTTTGGGAAATTTAATTGAATTCTTTGAGTGCGGAACAGCGCAACAAAAAGGCGCTCTGTGTAATCAGAATTCAGCAAGATTATCGTCTCGTCTGTGACGATAATCAGGCAGAACAGAAACAAATTAATATCTTGAACTTAATAAAGACTATGGCTGTGCAACTGTTGCTGGTCAGCTGAGAGAGTGGACGTGCAAACGAGAGCTTCGGAAATGCCGGTAGTTCATAGCAAGCCTCTTACTCTGAGCGCACATATACGCCCATATGGCACTCAAAGGGTTAAGTCTGTCAATCGAATTAGTGCATCAGCTAATCGGTATTCGAAAGGCTATTTTAATCAGTCTCTTAGCATGTTCAGAACTGTCATTACAAATCACCTATTCATATCGATATCATCTTGAAACTGAAGCTTTTATTGAAGTATTAGCTCTACCGTTATTTGTATTTCGCAGCATAATAGGATGTTACTGTCCCGTTAGTAAAGTAGAATTAAAATTAGTGTTCGACTCTCGGAACAACCTACGTATATATTAAATATTCTTTCACCGAAACGAAGTTTTTTAATATTTCCCAAACATAGTATTAGTTCTTTCAAATAATTTATTGCTTAGGACAATCATTGTAACGTTTGGATGAAAATACAAAGAAATATGTTATTTAAAGGTATTGTTTGAGAAAGCAAGCAACCCTGTTTGTTGAATCAAACGTTCGTTAGTTTGCTCTATTCCAAAAGAAACTCGTTTCGACTAAAGAAGTATGATTAAATCCGAAGAAATCTTATTCTCTGCATACAAATTAATCAGCACACCGGAATAACATGCTGGTCTTAACGTCGGGAACAAAGTTCCCCGGCGTCAGCGCGGCAGTCAACGTGTTAGAGAGCGACACATTGTACAAACGCGCGTTTCGTATTCTCGTATTACCATACTGATGTTATCGGACTGGAAGGGGAGCGAAATATCACCGTTACATTGTCGTTATCCGCTCGCCATGCTCGCCGTAAAGAAGGAACCGCCGGCTTTACAGCGGCGACAGTTAGGGGCTCGATTATCGATCTCTACGATGCTTTGCCTTTCCAGTATGCCCAAGAGACGCAGCACGAGAAGATTCTGCGAGGCCTGGCCGTCGGCATCGCCTTCACGATGTACGGTCGCCTCGAGGAAGCGGATCCCTTGGTGACATCGTTGTGCGCGGACAAGGATCCTATTCTGCGTAGGAGCGGCATGTACACTTTGGCGATGGCTTACTGCGGCACCGGGAACAATCAGGCCATCCGCAAGCTCCTGCATGTTGCCGTGAGTGTCGATCCCGAGACGTAAACGATGGAACGCGGTGGACCGTGTTCTCTCTCTCTTGTCGTATCCCGCTGCTCGTTATTTCCAGCGCTAATGTTGCGATAATTTCATCATTTTATCGGGAGAGCACTCTTGCAAAAGTTCCTCCGATCGCCGGATAATCCCGTCGGCTCAAAAGACGAGTCATTTTACGGTCGTGGATCTCGGATAATTGCCTGGAAGATGGCAGAAAATGGCGGATGGCATGCTTTGTTATTATTAATATAAGAAATACGGCGAAAATCTGGCGAACGTTTGCAAGCTTTGGTATCACGCGAGGATGGTTCTGAAAATGTCGAAAGCCCCTTCAAAATTCGGAAACAGAATATCGAGTGTTACTGGGCCGGTCCAAAAATTCGATCCGATGTATTTCGATGAAATTTGATTTTATTGGATTCAATTTGGGGGGTTCGTAGAGAAGAAGGTGGTATTAAAGCTCTTGTAGGTATGACTTGATATCTCTACTGTTAAGTTATGGTCCCTCTTAGTATCTCCATTATTAAGTTATAGCTGTTCTTAATATCTCGATTATCAAGTAGCGAATTCTAATGATTATCCATGGAATCATTTAGTAGCCCGCCGTTACGTAATGGCGCTAATACACACTAGCATTTGTTACAACGCATTTTTAGCATTTCGCAACGTTCCCGACGCTTTAGCATTTAATCGCACGTCATTTCTCCTCTTTCCTTTTTCCTCGTAACAGGTCTCTGATGTTAACGACGACGTTCGGCGAGCCGCGGTCACCGGTCTAGGGTTCCTGCTATTCCGGTGAGTACTTTTCACAAGTTACCTAATTCCGTAGGGTGCATGCAAAGCACGAAGAACGCGGGAATTCCGCGCGCTTGTAAAGCCCGCGGCTCTTCGAGAGCTTCCAGTCTTCTCTGAGATTCCAACTCGAACCGTACTTATCGCGCCGCACGTGTACGCGCGCTAACTTATTCATTCGAGAAATCATCTCAGGGTCACAGCTCCGGTCTTACCGTCGTACTTTCAAATTCAGAGAAGAACGCGGAAACGTTAAAAATCTCCCGACCTGCCCTCCGCCGAGAGATCGCACCTATTTCTCCGCGTTTGCGCAGAGGCATGGGGAAATATAAACGTCTAAGGGCGACAAAGTTGCGAGATGCATTCGTTAATTAAATTAATTAGGACGGGACAAAGTAAAACGATCATCGGGCGCTGAAGCCAATTTCCGAGCGGTTATTATCACGGGGGCGAAATCAAGCGTTTATTTTAAACGGCGTCCGACGGCACGGAAGCTTAAAGTAACGTCGATTGAACGCCGTGCAAATTGGTCGATCGAGGTAATATTTCATCGGTGCGTTGCCGGCCGTTAATGAATAACGATCAGCCTTTTGTTTACGCACGCGTTGCGGAGGAACGCGCCGCGTCGCATCGTGAAAATTCCGACGTGGCTTGACGTCACGTGAGAGTGCAAATTATGCCGATAGATTGTCTCGCGGTCGATCTTATCTGTCGATCGATCTCCAATATTTTGGCCGTGTTCTGAACGATAAGCCGATCGGAATAGCGGCAAACGGACGGGCGACTGACTTCCTCGCGGGAACCAGCGTAGTTGCCCACACGCAACTTCTGCTGACGCAGGTCCGTTCATAAGTGACGTTAATAAAACTGCGTTTCAATTATCCGTCCCTTTCAACTTCTGCGCAGTTCCTACGTGTAATCCCGTGGCCGATTCTTCGCCCTCGTCACGTTTTCCGACGCGTCCACGCGATTTTTCATCTCGCGTATATATCTTCATATCGCGGTTTTAATGCCCAGTTATAAAGATATCGCTAATTTTACAACATAGGTGTGTGAAATTGCGTCGCAAAGATATGCTATTTCAGAAAGATAGAGATGCCGACGGGAAATCAGCTTGAAATGAATATCGTGCGACTTGACGTTCCATCGGGGGTAATCGGGCTCGCTGAAAATCCGAGGAATATGATTTCGTCGTTCAGTTTCTCTCGCTAAAGTTCGTTTGAAACAAAAGAATAGCAAAACAATAATTTAGTTACAGTTCAAAAAATATAAGCTGAGTAATTTAATTTTTGTAAATTAATAATATAGAGTATGAAAATAAAACAATAGAATATATTTTTACAATAATCTTTTATTTATATTTTATTTATATATTTTTCCTAGTATCAGAAAAAATTAGAATTCCTTTTAAATTTTACATTATCTTTTAACAGTCTCGAAATAACGAATGTTACGACAAAAAATCGAAATAATCTCCATCTTCCTACAGGAAATTAAAGCACATGTCTCATTCATAAACTTGTATATTACTGTCGTGCACACTATTTCAAGGTAAAAAATTAGCTTTGAGAGAGATGATTTTGAAGATATTTCTCTTTTCCCTACACCACGAAAGCCTCAAATTTCAAATTCTTTTTTTATTATTATTTACTATTTCATGGAAATTAGAGTTTAAATTTTGATTTTAATTGTCATATTTGTGATCAAGGCTACAAAATTAACTAAAATTGACGGTTTAGATTCAAGATACAATTTTGTTTGCTGATCTGCGTAATTAAATAGACACTTGCTTTTTCGAAACGAATACTTTCCTCCTTGCGAATTTCGAAGATATTCTAGATCGGGTTGCGCACCTGTCCTGCTCGATAGTTCTGGTATTTGAGTTTGCAGGACTCATCAATAGTCGATCCCCTGTCGTTACCGTCAGACCTGATTGAATCATTATTATCGAGGCAATAAACGGGAGAATATCGCGACACGCGCGTCCGCTGAAGTCATCATTTGTCGTGGAATAAAGTGAGCTGACGTTGATAAATAAACGAGTTTAAACAGTTGCGGGCGAATCGACACTTGATTTACGAGCCCGTTCGTGTCGGACAACGCAGAAAGAATATAGCGCGCGGCACGAGCAACGAATTTGCGTTTCACTTGGCCGTTTGCCGCCGCCGCAACCACCTTGAACTCGTTTATTCTCCAACTACCGGGTAAAACCGAGACGAATTTTCAACACAACTTTTTATTAGCACTCCGTCTCGCCTCTCGTTCCGTTTCCTTCCTTTGCGAGCAAACACTCGCGCGCGAGGGCACCCGCGCGGAGATTAAGCGAGTGAGTCCGATTGAAATCTCCGGGTTTATTTTCTTTCTTCCTCTTTTTCCTCCTTAGCCAAATGACTCCGGTTCTTCGTCTAGCTAGTTTTTTTTATTTCAACGTAAGCTATCGTAAGCTGTATATATCCAAGTTCGAGCTCGTTCGGGAAAGCGGTCGAGAAGTTGTGTGGGCGTTTAAAGTAAATAGGAAATGAAGTTCTCCCTCTGATTTTCTGAACGGCAACTCTCGAACTTTTCCGGCTGTTACTTCTGAAGAAGGCGAAATCTGATTCCGTCGGCGCGTATTTCTCTCTTTGTTCAGTCATAGCAACTATATTTGTCTTTCAGACGAATCTCCGTCATTTTTCAAATCCCCGGGATCTCGGTACTTTCCGAGGCACGGAGGAACAACCCTCAACGTCTGTCGCGAGAGGAGGTGTGAATATGCATTTATATGAGGATTGAAAGGAGACGAGAATTTCGTGCTCTCCTTCTTATTCATTTTTCGACATTTTCAATCCTAGTCGCTTCTTTGAGAACGAAGAACGTGCGGTTTCGTTTCGTCGAGATTTGCAAGTTTAAAATTCCCCGATTTTCGGTTGCGCGTTTGTGAGCCGAGAGACACACATAACAATACGCCTCGCATTTTTCGTCGGCACGGGAGGAAAATAGAGAGAGAAAGGGGGAGAGAGAGAGGGGCGGGGGNGCGGGGAATATCTGGGCGTATCTGGGACGCCGCGTGTTGTACAGGCCGCGCTCGTTCGGATATTGCTTTGTTCGCGTGCAGTTCTCTCCGTGTTAATTTCGCATTGATGACGATGCGTTTTTATTTCTCACTCTTTCTCTCTCATCACACACGCACGCACGCACACAGCTGCTTCCTCTTACCCCTCGTGTTTCTCATTTTTTTCTCCTCTCGGGATCCTTGCCATTATCCTTTCTCGCGACCGCAATGAATAGAGGCCGACCCATTGAATAAGTTATACGCCGCACCACGCTTTCTTTCTCTGTATTCAAATTGCAATTTCAGAACGCCGGCCTTGTAAGTGGACTCAAATTCGAGTCCGAGACTGTAACTATTCGTACCTCGCCGTTCTGCTCGTTTTCTCACCGATAGACGCGTGTAGTGTCTCGAAGAAATAATTAGGAAATTAATACGGTGAAGCGATGTCCCGAAATAATTACACGCGTATATAGTGGCAAGAACGAAGGGGAAAGACAATTTAAGAGAAAATTATTCGTCGCTAAAGAAGTTATTATAATTTGTAGGTCAACGTAATGAATTTGAAATCTAAATGAGAAAACGGCAAAACAAATTGTAATAAACGAAGAAACGCGTAAATAAACACACGTAGAACCGTTCGATCGTAGGGAATAATTTTCTATCGCAAAAACTTGTCCTTTTTCGTTTGTACACGGAAAAGAGAAATAGCTCCCACAGCTAAAAACTAATTCCCACAGGTAGGGATATGGTGCTATGAAAATATCGATTCTACGATATTGAAACGGTTATCTTAATCATTAATGATACCAGTATCAGGATAAAAATATTGATACCAATACTCGTGTCACAACTTATAAAACTTAAAATTAGAGGAAATATAAGAATCAGTGTTTGTCTTACGAGCTACATTTAAGAGTTTCGTACGTCTACGTGTAAAGACACTTCTACCTTCTGCATTAGACTTTCTGCGATTTGTGATCTAAAAATCTTAAAAAGAATTGTCAAGGCTCCGGTGTCTTTGTTATGACCGTCTTTGATGATGTCAAAAGCGAGAAATCGCATGCTAAAAATTATTGCAATATACGTGGAAATAAAACAATATACGTACAAAATAACACTCATGATCGACTACGCACACTTGTAAAAAGCTCTCTTTTTACTTCAACAATCAATAAATAACCGTAAGATTAGCGTAACAGAGATCATGAGAAAAGATAGGTAAAATATATAAAATGTGAGTTGCATGTTACACTAATTTTCATGAAACAAAATTTTCATGAAACAAAAATAGATGATATTTTAAAGATCAACTGAATACAAAATAAAAGAAGATATCAGAAAAATATCGAAACAAACCTTCAGGACTTGTGATACGACAAGACGGAGCAGTGCTGACTTCTAGAAAACAATTGAAAGAATCGTGCGTTTTATTTTGTAAATTAGCAATAATTATGAAGCCCTTTCAAATAAGCAATCTCAAAAATATCCCATAGTGCTCCGTGGCCCACGGTTCGATTACTGACATGGATACGAATATCGAAAGAAAGTATCGATATCAAAATACTCACGATGCAAAAGTAGTATTGAAAGAAAAATATTTATATCAATATTATATCACTAGTACCACACATTTCTACCCATGGATAAAAATTAGCTGTCCATATAATTCTACTAAAATTTAGTTAATTCAGCTAATTCTTTTTGTCCCTATATCTAGTTTTCAGCTCTCACAGCTAAAAACTAAGTCTAGGTAACTAAATTTCAGTTGTATTATATGGACAGGTAATTCTTTTTTTTTCGTGATACGAATAACAAAAGGGAAGGCACGAAAAACTGCCCAATTTCCGCGGGTCAGTTTCACTCCCTCGGGGAATATATTCGTACAGAAACGAAGATAATTTATTACTCAACGCGCCAGGTCCTGCTTCTGCTCCCTGTAAGTTTCCCGTAATTTTTGTTACGCCTTCCCAGC